TAATGCAAAGCGAATTAATCTGTTCCAGACTTTTATAAACAACCCCTAAAACAGCCATATTTTGACATGAATTTTACTATCTAACAAGACCATTGATCCATAAAATGAAAGCAATAAACAATGTAATATTATTATTATTATTTAAACCCTGCCCATCTGGCTGGGTTTCCCCAGCCACTCTGGGCAGCTTCCAACAGAACACTAAAATACAATAACCTATTAAACATTAAAAACTTCCCTAAACAGGGCTGCCTTCAGATGTTTTCTAAAAGTTTGGTAGTTGTTTTTCTCTTTGACATCTGGTGGTAGGGTGTTCCACAGGGCGGGTGCCACTACTGAAAAGGCCCTCTGCCTGGTTCCCTGTAACTTGGCTTCTCGCAGCGAGGGAACCGCCAGAAGGCCCTCGGAGCTGGACCTCAGTGTCCGAGCAGAACGATGTACTGCAGTCACACAGTCAGTCAATCAGTAGCTGAACTGGGTTCTACAAAGCCACAAAAACAAAACAAAAAGCCGCAAAAACAAAAACGCTAAATAAATAGCGAAAACAGACAGACCTCAGCGTAACACTGAAAACGGAAGTGTGTCATTCAAATCAGAAGCGTAACACTCAAAACGGAGCACGTTCAGCTTCCAGAAAAAGTTTGCAAACTGGAACACTTCCGGGTTTGCAGTGTTTGGGTTCCAAGTTGTTTGAGCACGAAGGCGCTTGAGAACCAAGGTACCACTGTGTATCATCTAGCATACTAGGGACTCTGCCCTTGCTCCCTCTCTGCCCACAAACCCCACCTACTCCCTTTTGCCAAACCCCCACCCACCTGAGCAACTTGCGGGGCCAGGGTCTCCTCACCCTTCCATTAAACTTCACTGTGGGCGCATTTCAGCTGCCCCCATTCTGTTAAACAAGTAGCCTGGGCTGGCATTTCTCACAGTGCAGTTGGTTTAGCTGTCCGACTGCAGTGTGGTGACATTTCACATTCTTGTGCGTGAGCCAGGGGTGCCAGGTCCCCCTCAATTTCTGGTGTTAGAATCTTGTGGCAGATGGGTGGCGCCCCGCCCTGGGCTCTGAGTTGGTGGGCAGAGACAGAAGCGTTTGGAGTTTTTAGGATGTCGGTCAGCTGTGGCATGTTCCAGGAGAAAATGCTGGCAGCCTGTTCAACGCAGCAAGCTGAAGCAGAGAGACAGAGCATCCATGACTGATTTCTGCCGGCATCCAAAACTCTGGCCATGGGAGAAGCAGGAGCCTCTTGGAGTGTAATGTTTTGAGCCCCTGAGGTTGTATATATGTGTAAATAAACCATATGACCACTGGGAGGAACACAGAAAGCAGTTACACCATGATACACCTACATCAGCACAACCAGATCCCTTTATCTGCCCCAACTGCAACAAAATATGTCTCTCCTGCATTGCTTTTTGTAGCTAGAGCAGGTGCTGTAACTCTCCAATGGTTTGACTTCACCCCCTCCTCCATTGCACACTGTTTCATTGTCTCCCAGCAGATGGATGCCAGCCTAAACCATATATAATAAAGACACCACAATCTCCGCTTTGCCTCATTTCCAAAGGAAACATGAACCCCAGGTAAGCGCCTAGACCCATGAAATCTTGCACCGCTTGGAGAGTGGGATGGCATGTAACAATACATATAAAAAAACAGACTGCTTCCACAGGTTCCCTGCTGTTATGCTGAGCCAAAAGACTTTCTTGTGCCCTGCCTCTCAAAAAAGAACCATTTTGCCCATGCTCATTTTTTTACATTTTGCCCATGCCCAGTTTGACCATTACAGTGCTTTGAACTGGGCTGGCAGCCAGTGCAGATGACAGAGCACAGAGCACCCACATAACATGGTTCTATCTTGCTGCATTTTGGACCAACTGAAGTTTCCAGATCATTTTCAAAGGCAGGCTCACACATAGCATTCACTGCAGTTAACTGTATTGGCACAGATGATTCATAACTTACCGTATGTAGTGGTTATGTTCCGGGGATTGTGTGTAAAAATTGTGTATAATCAAAACAACCCCAGAACCACCCCTGCACAACCATCCGTACATTTCTGAAGCTGGCGCGCTGAGCTAGCCTTTCCCCCTACTCCACACAGGGCAGTGATCTTTTGTAAGCTCTGGGAGAATCCCATGCAGAAAGAGCTTTTAAGCTCTCTGCCTCGTGTGTGCTTAATTTGTGTGACTGCAGGCGGCAAGCATGTAAAGCTGTGATTGCACAAATTAAAGTTGCAAGTTGACCATATGTGCAATTTACAAGGGAAGGAAAATGGATTTTAAATGGTACGGACTAACAGGAAAACAGCCAAGCTTTATTTTGTACAAAATGGGAACCAGTCATTCTCTCTCCCCCTCCCCATTATATTTTCCAAATTATTACAAATCAAACCATGTGATGTCTCTGCTTTTTAAGATGCTGTCTAGGTTTGTCATTGCTTTTCTCCCAAGAAACAGGCATCTTTTCATTTCGTGACTGCTGTCACCATCTGCAGTGATCATGGAGCCCAAGAAAGTAAAATCTCTCACTGCCTCCATTTCTTCCCCTTCTATTTGCCAGGAGGTGATGGGGCCAGTGGCCGTGATCTTCGTTTTTTTGATGTTGAGCTTCAGACCATATTTTGCGCTCTCCTCTTTCACCCTCATTAAAAGGTTCTTTAATTCCTCCTCACTTTCTGCCATCAATGTTGTGTTATCTGCATATCTGAGGTTGTTGATATTTCTTCCGGCAATCTTAATTCCTGCTTGGGATTACTTTAATACAATTTCTTAAAATCAGGTTTCCCGCTCCTGTTGCAAACATGTCAATCATTTCCTCCCATAGCCGAATCATCTCTTACTGAATGGCCAGTTGATTCTTCACTTGTCTTTAGTCCATTCTTGCAGCTGACCACATCCCTCTGCCCTTACAAACAGCAGAACCGGTCATTCTCTATCCTGCATAAGGCTGCCTACACTATCGTTTGTTAATGGAGCTGCGAATTGTAGTTTCCAGGATTCTTTGGGGGAGGCCATGTGTTTTATATATTTGGGGTGTACGCAGCCTTAGGTGGAGATTAATACTTGGCAGAACTTAATTAAATTAGTTTGCAATTTTCACCTTGAGTCCTTGAGGCTACAAAATCTGCCCTACTTTTATGTATTTTTACCGTTCGGTTTCCCCCCTCGCGTGATTTAACAGCTGTGGAGAACTCAGAAAGGTTCCTCGCTGTTTTGCCCTTTTGTCTGCTTTGCAACGTTAAGAAGGGGCGGTGGGGTGGGGGGGAAGAGACACGGAAAACTGAGCAGGAAATAAATATATGTGTCACACAGCACATAATTCAACAACGGAATGAACTCGGGACGGCCACCAACTTGGATGGCGTTAAGGAGGATTGGACAAAGCTGTGGGGGTGCTGTTCTTGCTACATTTTTATCACACTGTGTTGCTTTACTGTTATTACAGCAATATGAAGGTAAAGGGATCCCTGACCATTAGGTCCAGTCGTGGCCGACTCTGGGGTTGCAGTGCTCATCTCGCTCTATAGGCCGAGGGAGCCGGCATACAGCTTCCAGGTCATGTGGCCAGCATGACTAAGCCACTTCTGGCAAACCAGAGCAGCGCACAGAAATTTCATTTACCTTCCCGCTGGAGCGGTACCTATTTATCTACTTGCAGTATCTGTTTATCTACTTGACATGCTTTCAAACTGCTAGGTTGGCAGGAGCAGGGACCGAGCGACGGGAGCTCACCCCGTCGCGAGATTCGAACCGCCAACCTTCTGATTGGCAAGTCCTAGGTTTTGTGGTTTAACTCACAGCGCCACCCGCGTCCCATATAGCGATATACTTAATATTAATATATATTAGATATCTATTGTTGATGTTTAGCCGTTTAGTCATGTGTGACTCTTCGTGACCCCCTGGACCAGAGCACACCTGGCACTCTTGTCTTCCACTGCCTCCCACAGTTTGGTCAAACTCATGATTGTAGCTTCGAGAACACTGTCCAACCATCTCGTCCTCTGTTGTCCCCTTCTTCTTGTGCCTTCAATATTTCCCAACATCAGGGTCTTTTCCAGGGAGTCCTCTCTTCTCATGAGGTGGCCAAAGTATTGGAGCCTCAGTTTCAGGATCTGTCCTTCCAGTGAGCACTCAGGGCTGATTTCCTTCAGAATGGATAGGTTTGATCTTCTTGCAGTCCATGGGACTCTCAAGAGTCTCCTCCAGCACCAGAATTCAAAAGCATCCATTCTTTGGCAATCAGTCTTCTTTATGGTCCAGCTCTCACTTCCATACATCACTACTGAGAAAAATATCTATATATTATGTAGATATTTATATAATATATAGATATTGATATCGAATATATTAATAGATGTATGCCTAATAGATATTAATATATAGTATTAAAATGATCTGAATATATTGCTATAACAATGAAGCAACACAATACATAATATTTTGTACGCTGCTCTGGATTCCTTTAGGACCAAGGTTTTCTTCAATAAAAAAACAGCGTCCGATTTATGATTTAGATTCCCCCGCATGCATCAGCATCGCTGCGCAGGATCTCCCTCTTTGCACTGATCCTCCCCCTCCGCTGTTTTCCAACGCAAGTGACGCGCTCAGAGGACGACAGGCCGTCCCCTGCCAGCCGCAAAGAGGCACGGGCCAATGACACTCCACCTCGCTCTCGAAGCCGGCCTATCCTAACAAAGCAACCAATCGTGGCTCTCCGGGGACCACCGCAGCCAATCGCGTAACGCCTCCTTCTTAGGCTGCCGGCCTATCACGGCGCTGGCTCCGCCTCCATTCGCCCTGGAGGACGCTCTAGGCCGGTGTCTGAGGCAGGAATCCCCTTCGCTCCCCTCTCTGTGGTTAGGGGCGTCGCTCAGGCCCCGCCTCCTCGGCGCGAGAGAAGGGAAACCACCAGGATTCCTCCCAGCTTCGGTTCTGCGCATGGGCGCCAAGCCTTTTCCTACGCACGTCAGTCAAGTGACGTCCCCGCCGGCTCCGCCCCCCGCTCCGCGCTCTTTTCCCGCTAGGTGCCTGTTTGCGACCGCCGCGCTTGACGGCTGGTGGGCTCTCTCCCCCTCCTCCCTTTGCTCGCTGGTTGTCAGGGCGGCTCGCTTTACGGCCCGGCGGCGATGGCGGAGGGAGAGCGGGCGGAGAACGGCGGCGGCGGCGGGAGCTCCGGGCGGCCGCCTCAGGAGGGCGAGCCGGGGGCGCTGGAGCGGGCCGAGGCCCTCAAGACGCAGGCCAACGACTTCTTCAAAGGTAGCGGCCGGCAGGGAGGAGGAGCCGTGAGGGGAAGGGGGCGGGGCACCTTGAGGGAGGAGGGGGAGGAGCCGGGAGGGAAAGGGGCGGAGCCGGGAGGGCGGAGCCATGGGGAAGGGGCGGGGTTTGCCAGAGGGGAGGAGCTAATGGGGCATCTGAGTGAAGAGGTGACCAGTGGGAGGGCCACTGATTAGAGTTGATTAGAGTTTGGAGGGGGGGTCCCAATGTGGGGGAAGAGATAAGGGGGAGTGAGGGAGGGGCCTCCTGTGCCACCCATGGGGGGTTGTGTGAGAGAGGACTAATGAGGGGGAGCATAAAAAATTATTTTTTATTGCATTAATTTCCTGCCTGCTCCAAAGAGCTCAAAGTAATCTGCATAGCTCCTCCCCTTCACCCTCCCACACTTTCCGTTGAACCCCCACAACAACAACAACTCTGTGAGGTAGGTTAGGCTGAGAGGCTGCCGCTGGCCCCCAAGGTCATACCCGGTGAGCTTCCAGACCGAATGGGGATTTGAACCCAGGTCCTAGTCCAGAGCTCATAATCTGAGTGCCTCCGCTCTGAAGGAGCGTCTCCACCCCCATCGTTCTGCCCGGACACTGAAGTCCAGCGCCGAGGGCCTTCTGGAGGTTCCCTTGCTGCGAGAAGCCAAGTTACAGGGAAGCAGGCAGAGGGCCTTCTTGGTGGTGGCACCCACCCTGTGGAACGCCCTCCCACCAGATGTCAAAGAGAACAACAACTATCAGAAGGCAGCCCTGTTTAGGGAAGCTTTTAATGCTTGATGTATTACAGTATTTTAATATATTGTTGGAAGCCACCCAGAGTGGCTGGGGAAGCCCAGCTAGATGGGCGGGGTATAAATAATAAATTATTATTATTATTATTATTATTATTGTTATTATTATTAAATGTTGAAGATAAAAAAAGAGGACACATTTGCCGACTTCTGCTTTTAACCATGGAACGCTGTGATGACTCTTATTTTACACACCTGTGAAAAAGAAGACGTGTCCTGGAAAAAGAGGACATATGGCAACCTGGCTCCATTTGATGGAGGAGGAGGATTCGAGGAAGATGCTCCCTTGGGATGTGTGTGGCGAGGGGGGCTCAGTCAGTGAGGGAGGAAGTATGAAACGTGTCCTGGGCTGGTTGTCCGCGAGATGGGGCTCATGGGGTAGAGGGCATAGAATCATAGTATTGGGAAGGATCCTCCAGCTCAACCCCTTTGGCTGAGCGGCGAATTCGGCTGCAACAGCATCCCCCTGATAGGAAGCCAGACAGCTCCTGCCTTAGAAACTTGCAGTAAAAGTACATTATTCTGCTGTGGAATAAGCTCCTGCTGTCAAATGGCTCTTTCCAGTCTTCAGTTGGAGTCAACCATGTTTGTAATTGGAACCCATTGGATATTGCAGCAAAGCAAAGGACTTAATTTTGGCTTGGAAGGAAGAAGAGTCCTCTTGGGGCAGAGCAACTTATGGGAACACAGGTCTGCCTACAGTGGGTTCCTTGGAAGGTTTTTTTTTAGGGTTGTTGGTGGGTTATCTGTGGTTCCATGGGGGAGAAGAAGGGTAGTTAAAGGGACCGTGTCATATTGGAGAAACATGTGCAGAAGTATGTGCTTCCCATGGGGAGTTAAAGGTGAGATGTGTTGGACAGCCGGGCAGCCACCACTTCCCTTGCTTCCCGCAAGGGAACAAATAACTCTCTGTGACTTGAACGTGTGAAATTAGCCATACTTGGGTTCTTGATGTCTCCTAGATAGAAAAAACGCCAGGCAAATTACAAGTTAATGGTCTTCCTTCCTCCCTGTTACATTAAACCTGTTAATTGCAAGCAAGTAGACTTTCTACTTTCCATCCCATGACACACGGTCTGTCCACTAGAATGATCTATTCAGGGGTGGGAAGCATTGTGATCAATTTGCAGGATTAGCATTCAAAGGGATCCTAATCTCTGGAGGTGGCAGCAGATTTGCAGAGTTTTGCAGGCATTGCTGAACGGCAGGCTGGATCCACAGCACCCAGTGAGGAAGTAGATGACCTTGTGGAAGAGGTTTTCTCCCCAATAACTTTCTTAGGAGGGTTGAATCTAAGATGAATGGGGAAATTCTGGCTGAGTAAGTGGTGGAGGTGTGTTGTTTAGGAGAGTGTAAGGGAGTGACCCAGATTATTAGAGCAAGTGTGACAGCTTAGGTGTAGAACATTTGCTTGGCGTGCAGAAGGTGACTTGGTCCATCTTCCTATTTTGGGATATGGCAGAATGGGGTTTCCTTCAAGTAGGTCTCTATGAGCTCTTGTTCTTAAGCCTCCAACACCTTCCTTGACACCAGGCTCTTAAAGATGGATTTGGGAGGCTTTTCTGCCTTCCCGCAGCCATGATGCTTAACCTCTCGTTGTGCCCTCGGGTCACATGATGACCAACTCTGTAATTAAACAATCCAGGCCTCTTGGACTCTGTTGCATTTGGTAGAACCTCTGCCAACTTTCAGAATATGGTTCACTTTTAATCCCCTGTGATGTTGGCTCATGCCCTGAAACAAGATGTTTTTATAGCCTCATAATTCTGGCGTCTACGGATCCATGGAGACAAGTGAGGGCAGCTTCACATATATGGAAATGTGCACATTTCTCTCTATTTTCTGGAGTAATTCTGTCTCTTTATATTTTGTCAAATAAGCTGCGGTAACTTGCCCCACATTCACATCTTTGGTTATTTCAGTTCAGCAGAGCCGTAATATACTCTTGGTTTCTGTCCTCACTGGCACTGCATACATAAAACGCATACCGTATTTTTTGCTCTATAAGACTCACTTTTTCCCTCCTAAAAAGTAAGGGGAAATGTGTCTGCGTCTTATGGAGCGAATGCAGGCTGCGCAGCTATCCCAGAAGCCAGAACAGCAAGAGGGATTGCTGCTTTCACTGAGTAGCGATCCCTCTTGCTGTTCTGGCTTCTGAGATTCAGAATATTTTTTCCCTTGTTTTCCTCCTCCAAAAACTAGGTGCGTCTTGTGGTCTGATGTGTCTTATAGAGCGAAAAATATGGTAACTTGTAATTTGTTGGGGGAAATTTGATTGTGTCGTCCGTCTAGCGTTATTTCCACCCTAGTTCTAACTTTAAATCCTTAAGGCAAATCAGAATCTTTGCTTCTTGCTAAAATATCTGTTAAAGGTTTACAGGAACCTTTCCATTTTGTCACTCTTTATCACCCTGATTCCGGGTACAGAAAGTTGTTTAATGGCACAGTCCTGTCTACTCAGAAGTAAGCCGCATTGGCAGTGTTAGAAATTAGCTGGGCTCTAGGTTCGTTTTGTGGCTTGCATGGGTGTATTTGTGACCACATGGAGATTTCTGGACGGCATCTTGGCTACTGATATCTCCATCTGGCTGGTCTCTCCAGCATTCTAAAGCAAGTAAGCAGAAGAGCTTATTTAAAGAGGAGTATTATTGTCAATGAGAATGTCCTCTCCTAGCTGCCCCAAGAGATAGGAGTCATTTCCTTCCATAATTTCATTGGGCCTCCAAGGTCTGTTTAACAGCTCTTTCCTATGCATGCGCCCAGTGGGACTTGCTCCTAGGTATGCATGTGCATGGTTAAAAATGATTTTAAAGGAAAAATAAGCTCTGGGGACAGGATTGGGTCCTGGTTGCCTTTGCTGTGGAGAGAGCAGTAGCAAATGCTGTCCCACCCTACGTTGAGACCTGTTTGAGGAAGGGGAACCAGCGCCCCTCTGTATGGAGTGCCCAGCTGAAGACCTTTCCGGGCTGTAAGCAGAAAGGCAAAGCAAGGAGATGCTTTTAACTCGCGTGTTTTGGGCACAGGAAGTTGGTGCACTGCTTGTTATGCTGTCCAAAGTTCTGCATCCGTTGGCATTTTACAGCTCACCAGGTTTGTGGCTTAGAGGTGGTGGATCAGTCTCATCAACCTTTCTGTCTGGAGGGGGCCTGAGGATGGTTGTTCAGCCTTAGAGGGCGCTGATGACCTGGATCCGTTACAGCCTGGCTTCAGGCCCAGTTATGAGACAGAAGAAGGCTTACTTTGCTAGTGGATGACTTTACACCGGGCCAGGAGGATGGAGTGAGGAGTGCTGCTCTGTTAGTTTTCCTGAACATCAGCTCCTTTTGATACCACTGCCATTGGTATCCGCCTGGATTGTCTGTTGGAGCTAGACTTCGGAGGCTCTTTGGTGCTTTTGCTCCTTCCTAGACGGGCATGCCCAGATGATGGTGAGGGAGAGCTCTTGCTTTTTGCCCTTTAGCTTACGGGGTTCCAGGGGTCTTTATTGTCCCCCGCACTCTAACATCTACATAGAACCACAGAGGGGAGTCATCCAAAGGTTTGGGCTTCCATTTCACCAGCATGCTGGTAACATGCAGCTGTGCCTTTCTTGTCCATCTCTGATCGGGTTGTGGGAACCCTAAAACCATGTCTGGGGGCTGCTTTGAGATGGGCGAGGGCAAAGAAACTGAGGTTACATTCCTGCAAGGGGGGGGCCTGCAGCTGTGGAGGTTTATAGTGAACCTGGACAGGGGAATGCTCCCCCAAAAGACCCACCCACCTCTGCAGTTTGGGAGTAGCCAACAGTCCCAACTTACCAGCATTGCAGTGTGGGGAGGGAAAGTCTGCGGGGTGGACATAATAGGAACAGCGGAAACACATGATGACTGGAGCACCTGTGGATTTGCATTTGTGTTTCTGATTCTTAGGCAATAAGGAACAGGGTGGTTGTTGTTGTTCATAGATGCCTCGGGGCTTGGGTAGCAAAGGAAGCGGCTGCAGAGACATGTGTCTGCTCACCATACAGCTATCATCTTGGTCTAAACCAGCTTCCACCAACCTGATACTCCCATCTGGAGGCCAGCAGCTTGGGGGAAGCTGGTCTAAGCTATTAACGTATCATCTAGAGGTGACCTTGGGTCATGTTCAGGCCGAGGTCAATGTCTTTCACTGGCCAAGAAGGTAACACCAGAAGGGAGCTGAAATGCGGATTCTTCTTTAATCATGGAATTGTAGAGTTGGAAGGGACCGTGAGGATCATCTAGTCCAACCCCCTGCGATGCAAAAATCTTTTGCCCAATGTGGGGCTTGAACCCACGGCCCTGAGATTAAGAGACTCTGGCTCTACCAACTGGGCTATATGCACTGTGTGCCTTTCTGCTTGAGCATTTAGGTGAATTGCACCAGAGTTAGGTCCCCCTTCCCAGGGTGCCTCTTCCTGTCATGAAGGAATGTTGCTTCCTCTTGACAGAAGAGAGGAGAACTCTGGGATATCCTGACCTGCTTTTCCCCAGACTCTTTGTCCTCTTCATGCCAACTCTGATGACTTTAAAAGCAGTTTAGACATATTCATGCAAAACTAAGCAGGTTGAGATCCCTGCATTGCAGGGGGCAGGACTAGTTGACCCTCGAGGTCCCTTTCAGCTCTCTGATTCTGTGCATAGCCCACTCCTGTGTGTAAATGGCACCGGTGAGCCTTCCGCGGATTAGCTTCTTGCACCTCGCCTTCCTTCTCTTCCTTGTGTGAATAACAGTTTTGTTTATCGCTTTGTTGTGCATTTTTTGTGCTTTTATATTTTAAACCGCCCTGTTATCCTCGGATGAAGGGCAGTATTGGAAATTTAATGAAATAATAAAAGCTTGGTATCTGTTTAGTTGCACCTCCGGGCTCCGTAGCCAAAGGGGTGCTTCTGGCAGCATGCATTGGCTCCCTGATAACAGTGGTTTCCTGCCTGTCCTCCCCTCTTCTCCCAGCAAAGGACTATGAGAACGCCGTGAAGTATTACACCCAGGCCATTGAACTGAACCCCACCAACGCCATCTACTATGGCAACCGGAGCCTGGCCTACTTGCGGACGGAATGCTACGGCTACGCCCTGGCCGACGCCACCAAGTCCATCGAACTGGACAAAAAGTACATCAAAGGCTATTACAGGAGGGCCACCAGCAACATGGCCCTGGGCAAGTTCAAGGCAGCCTTGCGGGACTATGAGACGGTAAGCAGGGTGGCGGCTTTCTCCTTGAGCATCTAGGGTTGGCGCAACGGCGGGGTGGGTGGGTGTTGCTTCACATGGGGCTAAGCTTGCAAAGCCAGTGTCAGCTTTGAATAATTCCTCAGAAGTCCACAAATCTTGGCTCGGCTTTCTAGCCAGCCATTATTTGTGGACAATGCCAAAGCACCACCACCACGACTCTCTTCCTCTCCCCAATCCCACTACTCAGACAGAAGACTTGTGGGAGGAGTGTGGCCTTCTCTCATTCACACCAGAGTGTGGCAAAGGTAGGAGGCAGCAAAGGAACCTCTTTTGAGCAGCATAGCAGATTCCTGATGTTCCATGTTTTCCAAGTTCCAGGACAGAGTGAGAGAAGACACATGTCCAAACACACACACACACACACACACACACACACACACCCCTTCATTTCACTAAGAATTGCGCAGGTGGCATTATTGTTCTGGGCAAGATGTGGAAGGTTGATTGTGATTGGCCACCCAGCAATTGGCTTTGTGGAACTCTGACAATAAAAGGTAAAAGACCCCTGGACAGTTAAGTTCAGTCAAAGGCGACTATGTGGTTGCGGCGCTCATCTCACTTTCAGGCCGAGGGAGCCAGCGTTTGTCCACAAATAGCTTTCCGGGTCATGTGGCCAGCATGACTAAACCACTTCTGGTGCAGCGGAACACTGTGATGGAAACCAGAGCGCATGGAAACACCATTTACCTTCCCGCTGCAGCGGTACCTATTTATCTACTTGCATTGGCATGCTTTCAAATTGCTAGGTTGGCAGGAGCTGGGACAGAGCAATGGGAGCTCATCCCATCGCGAGGATTCGAACCACCAACCTTCTGATTGGCAAGCCCAAGAGGCTCAGTGGTTTAGACCACAGCACCACCTGCTTCCCCAGCCCTGACAATGGTCAGAGACGAAAGGAATATCAGGTTCAGGACAGAATATGCAGGATTTTTGGGGTGGGGAATGCTCTGTCAATTTATCCCTTCAGAGGTGCTAAGAGTGGGGAGGGGCAAAACCCCGAGGTAAATGTAGATGGTCTCCAGTTTCAGCAGAGTGATATAAGCCCACCCTATCCAGTAGCTCAGTGGCTCAGCAATGTTCATAAGCATTCTATTTGCTCAGAAGTTTTTAAGAGTGTGTGGCAGACAAGGCCTGTGGACAAGGGGAGCTGCATGTTGTTGGTTGGAAAGGTTTCGGCAAGAAATGGATACAGCTCCATGTGCCAACATTGTAGGACATTGTATGTTTTTTGTGATGGAGAGCAAAAGGAGGAGAGAAACATGTCAAAGTAGCTTGTTTATAACCTGACTTCATAGGTCACATTTCAGGACGGTTTACAATATCTTGTAAATACACAGTAATAATTGTAATACAGCATAATAAAATTGTTATCCGCTTAAAACCGCATTTTGAGAAATTGGTGTTGCACACAAAGGCTCAGTCGTGAATTTACGAGATTCCCAACTTGTATATGATGAATATATATAAATTCTCTCCTCTGCCCTCAGGTTGTCAAGGTGAAGCCGAACGACAAGGATGCTAAGATGAAGTATCAGGAGTGCAATAAGATTGTGAAGCAGAAGGCTTTTGAGAGGGCCATCGCCAGCGACGAGCACAAGCGGTCTGTGGTTGACTCCCTGGACATAGAGAACATGAGTGAGTTCGGGGAGGCTGTGGCAGGGGGAAGCTGTTACAGTGGATTCGGGGGGGGGGGGGGTTGACTGCGACCTGACTGGGGCAAGGTTCTCAAGGTGCAGCTGAAACCCAGAGGGGAACTTCCAAGCTTCCTGCTAATCCACATGAGACATCTTCAGCGAGGCTCTAATCAGTACCCCATTGCTAAAGTTTCAGGCATCAGCCGTTCTGACAGGTGTTTTGACATTCTCTGTGCAGAGACCAAACTCATAGTAATGTTCACAGGCAAAGAGAGGGCCGGAAGAGGCAGGAACAAGCCCTCTGATGGCCTGAAAGATGTGCCACAGGGCCCAATTACCCAGCATGCTTTGCGTAGTCTCTGATTTGGGGCACGGCTCATGATTGTATGTATCGTCTCCTGTGCTCACTGCTCTTAATTGCTTGTCTCCAGTTTCTTCCCAAGGCTGTGTGCTAGAGTAGATCTTTTAACTGCTGGACTCGAGCCCAGTGGTTCTCAAACTTCCTGTGCTCGTGAGTCTCTGCATATCTGCTGTGGAACTCTTGCATATTGCAGAGGATTCTGGGACATGCTTCAAGGTGCTCACACAGGACTCTAGCATTGCCCTTTTCTCAGGGCTGGAGTCAGATGAAGGTCAGCAGGAAGACGCAGAATCGGTTGTCAGTGAACTCAACTCTTTATTCAAGGAAATGGTGTACCACTCAGCAACACTTCCCAGCAGGTCTTGCCCCCATAGAGCAGTTGCCAGGAGTGAAGGTTCCTGCCTTCCACCCACTCTAAGGCTCCTCTGGTCTCTGTTCTGCCCTCTTCATTATTCTGTGAATTCTTGTCGCAGCAGGAGGGGGAGACTCCCTGAATTCTCCAGCAGCCTCTTGACCGCCCTCTCCTCTGTTTCAGCCTCAGAGTCTGAACTGCTCCCTGTCACAGGTTCCTCCTGCTCACTAAACCCTGTTGTTTCTTCAGTATTCCAAGGCTCTGAGCCATCCTCCTCTGGGACTTCCCTTGGGGGTTTTCCTGCTGGTGCCTCCCACCGCTCCTCCTCGTCCACTCAGTCCTTGACACCTCGAGTGAATAGTGGATGTGCTCGAGAAGAGGCCCACTGCCTTCATCCCTGGCAGAAACTGCAGGAGAAAAAATAGATTATGGCAGGCCAAATATAATAATAATAATAATTTATTATTTATACCCCGCCCATCTGGCTGGATTTCCCCAGCCACTCTGGGCGGCTTTCAACAGAACACTAAAATACAATAACCTATTAAACATTAAAAGCTTCCCTAAACAGGGCTGCCTTCAGATGTCTTCTAAAAGTTTGGTAGTTATTTTTCTCTTTGACATCTGGTGGGAGGGCGCTCCACAGGGAGGGTGCCACTACCGAGAAGGCCCTCTGCCTGGTTCCCTGTAACTTGGCTTTTTGTAGCGAGGGAACTGCCAGAAGGCCCTCAGCGCTGGACCTCAGTGTCCGGGCAGAACGATGGAGGTGGAGACGCACCTTCAGGTATACTGGATCGAGGCCGTTTAGGGCTTTCAAGGTCAGCACCAACACTTTGAATTGTGCTCGGAAAGGTACTGCCCAAAGTATCTGCCATTACTGATCTTTTCACTAGGAAATCCTGGGGATTCTCTAGAACTCTGTCTGAAAGAGGTTTCCAGAGAGGCTTGAGATAAGGACCAGAAGGAAAGAGATCGGGCTTGTTAGAAGTCAAAAAAGCAAAGGCAGCGAGGAGGTCTCTGACTTGGCACAAGGCTAAGGTTGCTGCTTGCAGCCACTTCAAGCTTCTGTTGGATGGAACCCCTTTTTAGCTTGTTTGGAGCCCTGCTGGTTATGGTCTGGATAGGGGGCCGCTGCCATCGCCGGGCACCACCACCTCCTCATCCCAGCATCCCTCCTTTCCAAGGGAGCCCTGCCATCCTCACGCTGGTGACTAATGCCATTTCGCACGGGAGGCTGCGCCAAGGTTTCTCTGCCAGCGCCCGAAATAGATCAAGATCTCTGATCATAAATAGATCCCTGGCATGGAGAGGCTTAATCAGGAAAAATAAATAGACTGGTCTTCTCCTCTGCGGGCCAGCTGCTGGCACGAGCTGCGTCCCTTAATCTCACTGTCTGGACTAAGCCACTGCACGGTTTCATCCTGGACGTCTGCGGATTCTGCATTCAAAGCTTATTTCTGCAAGCAGGGGCCTTTCTCGCGCCTCCTGGCATTTGGAGGAGCCGGAGGGAAAATTGCTGTCCTTCGAGTTTGGCAGTTCAGCCCAATTAGCGGAAAGGCAGTGGCAATTACAGGAAGGGAGCCCTGGCAAGACACTTCGGTTTTGCAGAAACGGTACTGTTCTGAGGTGAACACGCAGACACTTGCCCGCCTCCACCTCGGGCAAACAGTTGGTAGAGCATGAGCTCTTAATCTCAGGGTTGTGGGTTCGAGCCCCACTTTGGACAAAAGATTCGGCATTGCATGGAGTTAGACTAGATGATCCTCACAGACCCCTCCAACTCTACATTTCTTTTCTTTTTTTAAGAAATATTTTTTATTAGATTTTCCATTAAAAAAATAAAAAAAATATTTTTTATTAGATTTTCCATTTTTAACTTAAACCCTTTTTTCCAGAACTTCCCTCAGCTTGTCTGATAATTTTCTGTTTATTTTTTATCCTCGTCTCACATTTCCCAATATTAATTTGCACTCAAATACTCTTAATCACATCATGTTTTTTAAACAATATTTCTAACAGTAATTTCACAGAGCTTCTTGAAAGCCAACGAACGTTACTTGCTTATCACAGAAATTTTTGATATACTCTGTAAATTTCTTCCAGTCCTTGGAGAATCTCTGGCCACGTTGGTTCCTAATTCTCCCCGTCAATCTGTCCATTTCTGCGTATTCCATCACTTTCATCCTCCATTCTTCTTTCGTGGGCATCTCTTCCTGTTTCCATTTCTGTGCCAGCAAAATTCTGGCTGCTGTTACTGCATACAAAACTAATTTCACATCTTTTTTACTAATTTCAATATCCAGTATTCCCAACAGTATTCCAACTCTACATTTCTGTGGTTGTTTGTGGGGATCAGGTGTCCTGCCCACACTCTGGGAAACTGGTAAAGCAATGAGGGAGGGCGATGAGGTGCCCAGCTTTGTCTACTTGGAACGTTTAAAATCTCTCCTGCCAAAGGAAAAAGGCTCCCAGGGCAGCTTGGGATGGAGCCATTAGTGAAAGGTATTGAACCTGCAGTTGCTTACCTGTAACGCAGTGGGTGTTACCTGGGTGGTCGCTTGGGGTGCCAAGGGGCAGGCGGACTCCCCCCCCCCCCAGCCATAGCTGTCAACTTACAGATTTGAAAATAAGGGACCAGCAGCCTCGAAAATAAGGGATCAGCAGCCAAAATAAGGGATCAACAATTACTTTGATAAAATACATATTGTGTTGTGTGCAAATGGCTTTAGATACCCATTAGGTCCATAAATTACCATATAGCATATATTCAACACACAAAAAAACAGCAACAGTTTGTTGTTGACAAAGGACAGCTGGACATAGAAAGGGCCCCACTACCTTCAGTAGCTTATTTAAGGGACATCATCAATAAGGGACAGCAGCGGGACATGGCGCTGGGATAAGGGACTGTCCCGCCAAATAAGGGACGCTTGACAGCTATGCCCCCCCCCCGTGATCGTGATGCTAGGCTGGCCTTGTGTTTGCGTTCTGCCTCTCCACCCACTTCCATCTTCCTGCTTCCCCAGCCATTGAGGACGAGTACAGTGGCCCGAAGCTGGACAACGGGAAAGTGACGCTTGCGTTCATGAAGGAATTAATGCAGTGGTACAAGGATCAAAAGAAGCTCCACAGGAAATGTGCCTATCAGGTAACTCCTCTTCCTCCTCTTCTTCCTCCCTTGAGAGCCACCCCACAGGGCTGCAGAAACGCTGGGTTCTCTATGCTATGGCATGGAGCTACAAGAGGTTTAAAGGGTTGCTCTAAGGCAGGGATGTCCAACCAGTAGATCGCGATCTACCGGTAGATCCCCAGCTGATCCTGGTAGATCTCTTGGGAGTTGGACATGCCTGCTCTAAGGGGATCATTGCAACCTGCCTGTAATTGAAGGCATATCTCATGCACAGTACATACCCCAGCAGGCCAGGCCATTGGCACTTGTGGGCCACAGTTACGTGACGTTTCCGCCAGTACGTGTTTATTTAAATCCCTCCCCTGCTCTTCCAAAGGAGGCCAGGATGGCAGACAGCAGAACAGGCTTTTCAAATCATTAAGGACATTTAAAAACAGTCGCACATATACTCCCAGCTAATAATTTCAGGGTTAGGAACGGTATCTTTCAGCCCGCAAATGCCTGAGTGAACAGGAATGTTTTTCGATTCCTCCTGGATGACATTAATGAAGGAGACAGGCGCACCTCACTACGGGCGTTCCACCAACGGGGAACAGCTACTGAGAAGGCCCTGTCCCAGGTCAGTTCTCAGCAGTGCTGGCCAGGGCTGATGGGAGTTGTAGTCCAAAACCTCTGGAGGGCAAGAGGATGGCGAAGGTTGATCTAAGCTAATCCAAGCCATACCCACTGGAAGTCTTGACTTTTCTTCCCTGTCCCGTCCCTCCTTGGTGTCGTGGTTAGAATAGTGGTTTGGAAGGGTTTGGAAGGTGAGGTTGGTGGAAGGATTCAAGGACAATCAAAGGAACATTTAAACATTTCAGTGTAGTATAGGATAGTACAGTGTTTTAATTTTTTTGCAGAATATGGATAGACATATTTTCAGAACTAAGCACTGCTAGGAGTTGTTTCTTCTTGTTCTCCAATGTATTTCTTATCAATTAAAAATGTAATAATAATAATACAGTGGTACCTCAGGTCACATACGCTTCAGGTTACAGACTCTGCTAACCCAGAAATAGTGCTTCAGGTTAAGAACTTTGCTTCAGGATGAGAACAGAAATCGTGCTCTGGCAGCGCGGCGGCAGCGGGAGGCCCCATTAACTAAAGTGGTGCTTCAGGTTAAGAACAGTTTCAGGTTAAGAACAGACCTCTGGAATGAATTAAGTACTTAACCCGAGGTACCACTGTAATAATAAAAAAAACTATTTATACCCCGCCCTCCCTGGCCAGAGCCGGGCTCAGGGTGGCTAACGCTAGTAAAATTACAATTTAAAAAAACCTGATTTAAAATACAGGTTAAAATGCAATTTAAAATACAGCCTCATTTTAAAAATAGCCCATAGAGCAAAACCATAAGGGGAGGGAAAGATGAGGGTCAGACAGAGTCCAAACCAAAGGCCAGGCGGAACAGCTCTGTCTTGCAGGCCCTGCGGAAAGATGTCAAGTCCCGCAGGGCCCTAGTCTCTTGGGACAGAGCGTTCCACCAAGTTGGGGCCAGTGCTAAAAAGGCCCTGGCCCTAGTTGAGACCAATCTAACCACCTTGCAACCTGGGACCTCCAAAATGTTGTCATTTGTGGACCTTGAGGTCCTCCGCGGGGCATACCAGGAGAGGCGGTCCCGTAGGTACATGGGTCCTAGGCCCCAAGCAAGTGTGGCACAAGCAAACTTTTATTATGTAATAGTAGTAGTAGTAGTACCCTGCCCATCTGGCTGGGTTGCCCCAGCCACTCTGGCCCAGAGGAAAAACGTTTGAGAACCACTGGGTTAGACTTCTTGTGAGACCAAGGTTCAGATCCCCTCTTGGTCCTGAAGCTCCCTGGGTGACTCTGGGTCAGTCGCTGCCTCTCAGCCTCACAGGGCTGTCGTTTGGATAAAATGTGGAGAGGGAGAATCATGTACGCAGCATGATTTGAGTTCCTTGGAAGAAAGGTGGTATATATTGAAGAGATTTCACCCCTCCCATATCCAAGAATCTGCTGATGTTCTCTGCTGATTCTCCAGAGAGGAGGGGGCGGTTTCTACTCTCTACTTATTCCGTTCCAGCCTCACATGAGAGAGAGAGAGAGACTGAGTGTGATCTCTGTATAGATAAGGTTGCTGCTAAGAGTAGCTGCAGACACTCAGTGCAGTTCAGCATTTTTCGTTTAGACCTCATTTAGCTCTGCATATAGTTGTGTATTATAGTTGTAGATAGAATAAAGAAGATATTCTACAGAGCTGCTCTCCGAGTCGTTTATGCTCTGCTATACTCTGCTGTGCGACGACTGTCTTCTTGTTGGAGTGAATCTGGTGCTCACAACTCTAAGCTGTGAGTCCACAGCACTTTGACCTGTTCCTGTGCAGAAGGTGGTCTCTGGAAGTGCTACCCAGCTCGCCTAGCCCAGTCGGGGCTGAAGTGGATGAGTCCAGTTGGTGGCACTGGCTCAAGGGTGATGCTGACATATATGTGTAATAATAATTTGCATTCATCTTTCTTCTCTGCCACCGTGCCTCTATTTGCTCTCTTTCTCTCTCTCTCTCTCTGACTGACCTCTCTCTTCCTCCTTGCAGATCTTGGTGCAAGTGAAAGAGGTGCTATCAAAACTCCCCACCCTAGTAGAAACGACGTTAAAAGAGGTGCGTGTCTCTCTCTGCGCCCACAACACTTAAATTGAAAGCTGCAAGTCTGTTGCCTCCCTCCTTGACAATTTTTTTCTTCTCAGAACTCCCTATTTGGGGGACAATTTATGTTATTGATTGATTTTTAAATAACATAAAAAATTCAAACCAGAAGGAAAAAGGAAACATACAAAGAATAAAACAGTCATACCTTGGGTTACAGACGCTTCAGGTTGCACGTTTTCAGGTTGCACACTGCGCTGAACCCGGAAGTACCAGAATAGGTTACTTCCAGGTTTCAGCACATGCGCAGAAGCACTAAATCACGCTTTGCGCATGAGCAGAAGCACCAAATCGCAACCCACGCGTGTGCAGATGCGGTGCTGCAGGTTGCGAACGCTGCGGGTTGCGAACATGCATCCCGCACGGATCACGTTTGCAACCCGAGTGTCCACTGTATCTCCAAAGCAGTTCCTCTGCTCCCCTGGATTACAAAAAGCTTGGGAGCTGTCAAAAAAAATTCCACTCCAGAATACTGCTCTGTAGATGCGCAGGGCAGTAACCTTGCCTTCTTCAGTCATTACATAAGACTTAAAATCAGTCAAAATAATCTGAAAATCACCTGCAGTCTTACTATTTTTCCTTCTGGCCTGCAGTTCATGAGTTACATTCTTCCATCAAGGCCTGGGAGATGCATTTTGCAAATAGATCTCCAGGTTTTCAGAACTCCTTGAACAGTCGTTCTTTCAAAAGTGTCTGTCCTGCACCCCATCCTTAAGAACTCTTGAGAGTATGGTGAATCCCAGGCCATAGGATGCCAGGATTCTGAGAGTGATCACGGCTCCCCAAGTGATCTCTCTCTCTCTCTCTCTCTCCACGCGCGCGCGCGCACACACACACACACACACACACACACAGAGTGCAGCCATCGCTTGTTTCGTGACTGCTGTCCCCATGAGCCACCACGGCAGCACAAAAGTTTATCCACATTACAGGCTCACGCTGCTTATTGCTGTCACCTCTGCTGTTCCTTCCGAGGAAATACTGGGAATAATCATGAGAGCCTAGGGCTCTTTTGGGGGTTTGCCAGCAGATTTGCAGCGCTGTCATTCTGCAAAGGAGGCCAGAACAGTTAAAGGAGTCTGGGTTGGCGTACACTGCCTGCAAATTCTGCCGGCAACCCATGCCTTTAAAGCAGGAGTGGGGAGTCTCCTGGGCTTTCCAGGCACTGTTGGATTCCCAGCTCTCCTCAGCCCCGGCCAGCATGGCCAATGGTCGGAGTCCAGCAACCTCTGGAGCAGGGCACCTCTGCGCAAGTTCACCACGCCAGCCCTATAGTGGCCTGCGTAGATTCCTTCTTGCGGGATAGACCGTGATGTCTTGTGTGGGGAAATCCAAAGAGTGGGAGGAGGAGAAGCACCCAAAAATAGTTGGTTATAAATAAGCATTATCTGGCTGAGCTTCACGCCTCTTCCCTCTGTTGTCTTATTCTGCCTCCCCACCACCACCACCCCGCTTCTTTTTTGTTCCAGACAGAGAAAATAACTGTTTGCGGAGACACCCACGGACAGTATTATGACCTCCTGAATATATTTGAATTGAACGGGCTGCCGTCGGAAACGAATCCATATGTATCCTTTCTTGCCGCTCCTCTAGGGCCACTGTAGGCCTTGTTCATCTGTTTCGCCTCCTCCTTGGGTGGAAAGGGAACTGCGCTGGTGGGTTCCTGGCAGGGGACAGATGGACGGACTTCGGAAAGGGAGAAACGGCAGGAGACATGGGGAGCAAGGACTTCCCGCAATTCCCCCTTCTCCGCACAACCAGATGTGAGGGAACCGGTCTGCTGGGGGCAAGCGCTTCCTTCCACCCAGGAAAATTGTAGGCCAGTTTGTAGAACTTCTGTGTGCACCTGAATTTATCTGGGAAAAAGATCTTGGAGGCTGCCACCTTCCCTGCACACCTTTCTCGGGTGCTAAGATCAGCAGAGGGAGCCATCTTGGTAACTTTCAGAAACCTCCAAAATTTCAAGGGGTGTGCATGTGTGTGGTGGCCCAGGTGAGGGCCTTCTCTGTGGCAGCCCCTAAGTTGTGTGACTTCCACCCACCCACCCACCCTGGAAGTGCATCTGGCATCTTCACTATACAGCTTTTGGCAGATGCTGAAGACACACCTCTTAGACTCCTCAGATGTGTTTCTTCAGGATCCACCCGATTCCGGTGGCTGTTACCGTATTTTTCGCTCTATAGGACGCACCCGACCACATGATGCACCTAGAGAACAAGAAAATTTTTTTCTCTCCCTCTCTGCACAGCGCCCCTTCAGCGAAGCGGCAGGAGAAATGGAGCCCCTTCCATTTCTCCTCCCGCTTCGCTGAAGGGGCGCTGCGCAGAGAGGGAAAGCTGCGCAGCACCTCTCCAGCGAAGCCTCTCCGGGGGCTTCAGGCGGCTATCCCTGAAGCCTGGAGAGCAAGAGGGGTTGGTGCGCACCGCCCCCTCTCGCTCTCCAGGCTTCAGCAAAAGCAACGCGAAGCCTCCGAAGCGCGGTGCTCCCGCTGCGCCTTGGAGGCTTCGCGTTGCTTTTGCTGAAGCCATGGAGCCTGCATTCGCTCCATAAGACGGACACCCATTTCCCCTTAATTTTAGGAGGGGAAAAAGTGCGTCTTATAGAGTGAAAAATACAGTGCTTGCTTTAAGCCACTTTTAGTACTGAATTTTAAATGGTTGACTCCCACCCTGGGACCTGCTGATTAGGGGCAGGTAAAAAAATGTGTGGCTGCTGCTTAATTAATTTGTTATGAATTAAGAAGTAATGCTCATTCCTGCCAATCCTCTAATTTTTGGTGTAGGCAATATGAAGACTTTCTGAGCTAGAAATCTGACTTGGAAATGCCCTCTGGCCGATGGCCACTGCCACATATTTTGTCCATGCATGCTCAGATTTCTGTCTCCAAATGTGAGGGATAGAAACTTTTCCCTTCCTTCCCCCCCCCCCCCTTTTGCTCTCCCCACCCCCTGTTGTTGCTAATGAACGTTGAGGCTCCCAATAATTCTGTACAGGCTCCTGGGATCCACATTCAGTCTGCAATCCTAGATGCCCTTACTACAGAACAAGCCCCCCTTGAGCTCATGGGACTTCCTTCCGTGTAAACATGCCTAGGGTCATGCTTTCAGAGCTTGTTTTCAGAGCCTCCCTAGAACCACGGGAGCTGGAATGTTCTGGAGGTTCATCCAGGTGAACCTCTCTCATCCCTCCCTTTCATTTTATCTTTTTGCTCTGAGGGCAGGATCCTTGCATAGTGACGTTTACCTGCTTCTGTCATTGCTCCCTGAGCTCTTCTGAAGTCACGTTTGGCACCTGCTTTTATTGTCGCCCTCGGCCCCATCACGGCAATCTATCCTTGAGTTTGTGTTTACCTGTCTTGCTTGCCCTCCCAAGAGCTCTAGACAAGGCATGGCATTTCTTGGGGAAGAGATGTATCAGATGACAAGAAGGAAGCTGGGGCGGGCAGGTGTGGAATCCACATGGACCTGCCATGCAAAGGCCGCATTTTACGGTTTTTTCCCTTGAGCACAGCTGCTTCCCCACCGTAGATATTCAACGGGGACTTTGTTGATCGTGGCTCCTTCTCCGTGGAGGTGATCCTGACGCTCTTCGGTTTTAAGCTGCTATATCCAGATCATTTCCACCTACTTCGAGGTAAGAACATCAGAACAGCCCTGCTGCATCAGGCCATTGGCCCATCTAGTCCAACATCTGCCCAGCCAGATACCTGTTGGATGGCCGCAATCAGGATTTGAGCCAGTGTGGTGTAGTGGTTAAGAGCGGTAGTCTCGTAATCTGGGGAACCGGGTTCGCGTCTCCGCTCCTCCACATGCAGCTGCTGGGTGACCTTGGGCCAGTCACACTTCTCTGAAGTCTCTCAGCCCCACTCACCTCACAGAGTGTTTGTTGTGGGGGAGGAAGGGAAAGGAGAATGTGAGCCGCTTTGAGACGCCTGCGGGTAGTGATAAAGCAGGATATCAAATCCAAACTCCTCTTTTTCTTCTCCCCTGCTGTGGTTTCCAGCATCTGGTATTCAGAAGTCAGAATCTCGTTTCTTGTGATTTGAATCCTCCTCCTGCCTTTATCAAATGCTTTTAGAAACCTCTTGCCACTCGCCCTGCCCCACGTATATGGCTTCAAAAGCCTGGCACTCCTCCCACGCCACCCTATGGCTTTCCGTGACGAGCTTTTAGTGTAACGAGCCCGCATTCCTGAGCTGTTGGCTGAGTGCATCCCTGACGCTTTCCTCTTGAGATTGTGCGTCTCTCCGGGCCAAGGGAGTGGCTCTAGCTTCTCAGCTTTGTTTCGTTCTTGGGGGACCTTGGTGGCTGTGCTCCCTCTTCCCTCTTGAAGGCAGCATGCCCCTGAATGCCATCTGTGGGGAAACACGGGTATGGTGGAGAGGGCAATGGCCCTCATTCAACCTGCTTGCAAGCTTCCCACATGCATCCGGAGGGCCACTGCGAAAGCAGAATGTGAGAGCAGGGGGGTCTTCGGTTTGCCGCGTTCTGCTGCACTACACATTCCCAAAAAACACCAGGCTCCATCTTCTGAGATGTTGCAGAGGAGTCACTTCGTACCAACTCTCTTTGCTCCCTGGCGCTCTAGACAGCTGTGACTTCCCCCAAAGACTCCTGGGAGCTGTCATTTGTTGTGGGTGCTGAGAGTTGTTAGGAGACCCCCCGTCCCAGAGCTGCAGTTCCCTGAGTTCCCTGTGAAGAGGGATTGATGGTTAACCACTCTGGGAATGTTAGTTCTGGGAGGGGAATCAGGGGTTCTCCAAACTGTTAGGATATACCGTATTTTTCGCTCTATAAGACACACTTTTTCCCTCCTAAAAAGTAAGGGGAAATGTGTGTGCGTCTTACGGAGCGAATGCAGGCTGCGCAGCTATCCCAGAAGACAGAACAGTGAGAGGGATTGCTGTGCAGCGCTCCCTATCGCTGTTCTAGCTTCTGGCTTAGCCACGCGCAGCCTCTTCAGGGCAGCGGGGAGCCTTCATCCCGCTGCCCTGAAGAGGCTGCGCAGCTATCTCAGAAGCCAGAAGAGCATGAGTTTCTCTTCTAGCTTCGGGGATAGCCACGCAAAGCCTCTTGAGCGCAGCGGGAGCGCTCCTGCCTCTTTGCTCAAGAGGCTTTGCGTTGCTTTCTTGTTTTCCTCCTCTAAAAACTAGGTGCGTCTTATGGAGCGAAAAATACAGTAGTTCCGTTCCACCTTAAAAGGGAACAGGCATGACTGTTGTGTGTCAAAAGCCTGTTTACTTCCAACACAGTCTGCTGGGAACTTCCATTTTATATATTGCTTTTGCTAGTATTTCTATTTGCTGGACACGAAGGGAAGCAGACATGTTTTTTCCTTTGTTCCTGAACTATGCTGAATAAATGCTGTAAATATGCTTACACATTTCTCTGTCCGCCACTTCCGTTGTGAGAAGATTTATTTACTCTGGTGATAAGAGCGTGCCGAGTCTCTAAACGTATCTGAGGCTCGTGTCGCTGTTTGATGCTGTTCCAAGGGAGACCGGTTGCCGGCCGGTGGCTGGAGCCAGCTGGGGACTTACCTGATGCCCAGGTCTCCCCGGCAATATCCCAACACGAACAACTCTCAGCATCCTTAGATTTTTTTTCCTAATATTTTGTTGGAAGCTGCTCAGAGTGGCTGGTGCAACCCTGTCAGATGAGTGGCATGATGATGATGATGATGATACAGTCGTACCTTGGTTTTCAAACAGCTTAGTTCTCAAATGTTTTGGCTCCGAACGTGCAAACCCGGAAGTGACCGTTCTGGTTTGCAAACTATTTTTGGAAGCCAAACGTCCGACGGGGCTTCCGCGGCTTCCAATTGGCTGCAGGAGCTTCCTGTATCCAATCAGAAGCCGTGCTTCGGTTTCCGAACGTTTTAGAATTCAAACGGACTTCTGGAACGGATTCCGTTCGACTTCCGAGGTACGACTGTAATATCATCAGCCCTGAAGTTTAGGGGTGGGAGGTAGGGTGAAGCCCTTTCCTGCAAACTCAAACCAAAATCCCCCTTCATTTTGGCCTTTTAACTCCTCCTGCTCTTTAGGGAACCACGAAACGGACAATATGAACCAGATCTATGGGTTTGAGGGAGAGGTCAAAGCCAAATACACAGCCCAGATGTTTGAGCTCTTCAGCGAGGTCTTTGAGTGGCTACCTCTGGCGCAGTGCATCAACGGCAAAGTCTTGGTGAGCAGCCGGCCGCTTGGGTGGGGGACCGCAGCTCAGCTGAGCACTCTTTGTGACCCTTGCTGTTCCTCCTCCTCTTCTCTCCCCCTGGGTAGATAATGCACGGTGGCCTCTTCAGTGAAGACGGCATAACGTTAGACGATATCAGGAAGATCGAGAGGAATCGGCAACCTCCGGATTCGGGTGAGCGGTGGCGGGGACTGGGGTGGAATGATTTGTCTGGTGGGGACTGGGTAGCCTTGTGTACCCATAGGAGCAAAGCAAGCAGCCTTACAATGAGCCAGACGATCGGTCCATCTAGCTCCATATTGTTCGCACTGACTGGCAGCAGCTGCTTTCCTACCTGGAGATGCTGAACCTGGGACCTTCCTGATGCTCTGGCCCAGAGGGTATGGCTATCAATGCTACAAGCAAGGGAATAGTCACAAAAGGAAATACTTGTTGATTCATTGCATCAGGCTTTGGTCGACCAAGCCAGGGTTTCCCAAACTTGGGTCTCCAGCTGTTTTGGGACTACAACTCCCATCATCCCTAGCTAGCAGGACCTGTGGTCAGGGGTGATGGGAATTGTAGTCCAAAAGCAGCCTGAGATCCACCACGTTTAGGAAACTCTGGACTAAGCGATTTAAACAGGCATAAATTTGCACAAGAGAGGGGAAACTGTTCTTTTTTTTAAAAAAAAAACTTTTTTTATTCAAAATTAAAACAAAACTTATTATCCAGAAACATATCATCCTTATTTTTCCTCCCTCCCCCCACCCTCCCACACAAAACCCACCCACCCCCCGACTTCCCTCAGTTCCAGTCTTTGATTTCTCTAAGAATGCTGTTTTCTGCATGTTACACAGCTGTATAGATCCTCAAACTATTTAGCTGATTATTATCAATAAAAAGTTTGTGAATGTTTATTCAAAACCATCCAAGGAGTCCAGTTCGCTTTGTTGCGTCTTCAGATACTTTGTAAAGGGTTCCCTTTCATCCTTAAAGTCACAGTTATCCTTGTCCCGTAGTTTATGTCAGTTTTGCCAGTTCTGCATAGTCCATCAATTTTTCTTGCCATGATTCTTTAGTTGGGGTTTCTTCAGTCTTCCATCCTTGTGCTATTAAAACTCTCGCAGCTGTTGTCACATACATGAAGATGTTTTGCAGCTTTTTTGGCAGATCTAAGGGGGGGGGACTGTTCTGAGCTGCAACGAAAGCAGCCCTCTCTGAGAAGAGACATCCCCTTCTCTTCCAAGAGCACCTCTTTTAAGATGGCACTTGCCACTTGCACTTAATTTATGGCTAATTATTGGGAGGGAACGAGGGTGGCTTTTTCCTGCCATGGAGAAGGGGATCTTGGATGGGTTGTCTCTCCCACAAACTACACTAGGACGCTTTCTGAAAATTAGGACACGCTTACTGCCCCATGTGGGAGGACGGCCCTATTCCCCCTCCACTCCCTTCCTGCCTATCAGATTGTGGTTTCCCTTTTTAGAGGGGGGAAATACAAATTTCCTGCCTGAATTCACTAGGGGCACCTTTTTGTTAGCTTGAACCTTTTGGGATTAACTGGCGAATCTGACCGATGTAGTCATCTAAAAGTTTTAGGCTTAGCTGTCTTTCTGTTTTCTCCACCCACCTACTGTCCTGCGGTTCTTCTTTATTTAATTTCTATACCACCCTATACCCAAAGGTTTCAGGGCGGTTCACATAAAATATAAAATACATAAAATCAAAACAAAAACAACAACCCAATAACCCCCCCGCCCAAAAAAAGAGCCAGAATTTTTAAAAGGGTATAAAATGTAGAATCATGGCTAGGCAAACTAAGGCCCGGGGGACAGATCCGGCCCAATCGCCTTCTCAATCTGTCCCATGGACAGTCTGGGAATCAGCGTGTTTTTATGTGAGTAGAATGTGTCCTTTTATTTAAAACACATCTCTGGGTTATTTGTGGGGCCTGCCTAGTGTTTTTGCATGAGTAAAATTGTGCTTTTTTTAAAAATGCATCTCTGGGTTATTTGTGGGGCATAGGAATTCGTTCATATTTTTTTTCCAAACTATAGTCCAAAGGACAGTGGACCGGTCCCCTGCTGAAAAAGTTTGCTGACCCTTGATGTAGATCAAGTCAGGCAAAGGCCTGGTTAAAAAGGAACATTTTTGTCTGGTGCCTAAAGATGTATAGTGAAGGCACCAGGCAAACTTCTCTGGGGAGAGCATTCCACAGATGGGGAGCCACTGCTTCCCCTGTTTTTGAGGAGCAGAAATTTGGCAGGTGAAGCTTCCCTGGCATAGAGAAAAAAGTGATGGGGAAGACTGCTGCCAGTCTGCTGCTGTTAAGAAAGAGAAGCCATGCTTGGAGGAGAAGAAGAAAAAAGAGGTGTAAACCCTAGATCTGAGCAGATTAGGGGTAGGGCAGAAGGCCTGAGAGTTGACTCATAGAATTGTAGAGTTGGAAGGGACCCCGAGGGTCATCTAGTCCAACCCCCTGCTATGCAGGAATCTCAACTAAAGCATCCATGGCAGACGGACACCCAACCTGTACTTAAAAACCTTCAATAAAGGAGAGTCCAGTCCAACATCGCTAGAGGGCACCAGGTCGGTTGGCAAAGGCAGGTTTAATTCTGTGATTAATGGATTGATTGACTTTATATCCTGCCCTCAACTCCCCAAAGAACCCTGGATAGCAAGCAGAAGCACCATTTAAAACAAAAACAGACATTTGAAAACCAGTGAAAGCGTTCTCAAAACGACTGCAATTAAAAGCAGTTACAATTAAGAGCCATTCTTCCGCCCAGTGACCTTAGGGTTGCCCAGAACAGTATGCAGCCACCATGTGCCTGGGTGCAAACAGGAATGTTTTCAAATACCTCCTGAAAGTTAACAGTGATGGAGAGTCTGGCGCACCTCACTAGGGAGGTCGTTCCACAACTGGGGGGCCGCCACAGGAAAGGCCCTGTTACGACTCAGTGCCAGCCAGGCATCCCCCAGTGGTGGCACCACCAGCAAGGCCTCACCTGGCAATCGCAGAGTCCGAGGTGGTTGATTGGCAGTCAGCTGGCAGCCATCATTGGTTTCCACCAGCCACAGGCCTCACTTTCTGTGCCTGCGTTCCTCCCCGCTCATCTATTGAACTCGCCTCCTTCTCATTTGCAGGTCCCATGTGCGACTTGCTCTGGTCAGACCCTCAACCCCAGGTAGGTCTTGCTTTGGTGAGACTCGTGAGCTGTGTGCCCATTGCTCCATGACTACAACGTCTCCTCTTGATTTCATTCTTCATCTCGAGATCTCCATGGGCATTTTGACCGGGTGGGGAGGAACAGTAGCATTTCCCCAGGACTAAATTACTCTTGGGGCCTGGTATCCCCGCCCACGATCATTCTGTGGAGGAGTCTGCCCCTTGCTGGGCTGAGTGCTGTCTTCGATATACATAGCGGCACCACCTCTAGTACGGCCTTCTCTATCCAGTGAGAGAGAGCCAGTGTGCTGTAGTGGTTAAGAGCGGTAGTTTCGTAATCTGGGGAACCGGGTTCGCGTCTCCGCTCCTCCACATGCAGCTGCTGGGTGACCTTGGGCCAGTCACACTTCTCTGAAGTCTCTCAGCCCCACTCACCTCACAGAGCGTTTGTTGTGGGGGAGGAAGGGAAAGGAGATTGTTAGCTGCTTTGAGACTCGTTCGGGGAGTGATAAAGCAGGATATCAAATCTAAACACCTTCTTCTTCCTCCGCAAATGAATCCAGATTTCATTGCACGGGCAGAGAAAGCTGAAAGCAACATTGCGGGTGCAGTCTAATACCCATTTACCTAAGAGCCAGTGGGGCTTAACTTTTGAGTGGACTTTTGAGTGGCACTTCCCCACAGCTGACTAAGTCCCCTCCTCTCCAGGATTCCCCCCCCCCCCCAAGCAAGCAGAGACTGCGTCTACAAGTCACCAATCTCTCCTCCACCCTTTTCAGAGCCAGTGTGGTGTAATGGTTAAGAGCGATAGACTCGTAATCTGGGGAACCGGGTTCACGTCTCCGCTCCTCCACATGCAGCTGCTGGGTGACCTTGGGCCAGTCACACTTCTCTGAAGTCTCTCAGCCCCACTCACCTCACAGAGCGTTTGTTTTGGGGGAGGAAGGGAAAGGAGAATGTTAGCTGCTTTGAGACTCCTGAAGGGGAGTGAAAGGCGGGATATCAAATCCAAACTCCTCCCCTTCTTCTTCTTCTTCTTCTTCTTCTTCTTCTTCTTCTTCTCCTGCCTTATAGAGCAGGGTTCTCCAAACTTGGGTCCAACTGCTTTTGGACCACAGTTCCCATCATCCCTGACCACTGGTCCTGTTAGCTAGGGATGATGGGACTTGTAGTTCAACAACAGCAAGAGACCCAAGCTTGGGGAATTCTGCTGTAGAGTATATATCAAGAGCTCTTCTCCTTTTTGCCCGATTCTGTCTCCCGAGACAGATGAATGCCAATGGATTTCTTGGTGTCGCCTGCATACTGGGCACCCAAACCCCCCCATCTCATGTTTATAAGGCTGCCGTTGCACCCAAGGGTGTCTTTCTCTCCTCCACCCAGAACGGCCGGTCCATCAGCAAGCGTGGCGTGAGCTGCCAGTTCGGGCCCGACGTCACCAAAAGCTTCCTTGAACGCAACCACCTAGATTACATCATCCGCAGCCACGAAGTCAAGCCGGAAGGGTATGAGATGGCTCACGATGGCAAGTGCGTCACTGTCTTCTCTGCCCCCAACTACTGGTGAGTGAGTGAGTGAGGGGGCACGCTGCCGTGGTGGTGCTCTACTTCCTATTTTTTTATATATAAACAATTTTTTATTAGTTTTCAGTTACAAAAATCCAAAATAGTAAAGGTAAAGGGACCCCTAACCATTAGGTCCAGTCGTGGCCGACTCTGAGGTTGCGGCGCTCATCTCGCTTTACTGGCCAAGGGAGCCGGCATACAGCTTCCGGGTCATGTGGCCAGCATGACTAAGCCGCTTCTGGCGAACCAGAGCAGCGCACGGAAACACTGTTCACCTTCCCGCTGGAGTGGTACCTATTGATCTACTTGCACTTTGACGTGCTTTCGAACTGCTAGGTTGGCAGGAGCAGGGACTGAGCAACGGGAGCTCACCCCGTCGCGGGGATTTGAACTGCTGACCTTCTGATCGGCAAGTCCTAGGCTCTGTGGTTTAACCCACAGTGCCACCCGCGTCCCTAAAAATCCAAAATACACCTTGTTATATCCATATCAAATCACAATACCAAATCAAATACAGTGGTACCTCTGGTTGCAAACGGGATCCGTTCCGGAGCCCTGTCCGCAACCTGAGCAGAACACAACCCATGTGTGTGGGTCACGATACGCCGCTTCTGTGCATGCGCGTGATGTCCTTTTGAGCGTCTGCGCATATGCGAGCGGCGAAACCCAGAAGTAACCCATCCGGTACTTCCAGGTCACTGCGGGACACAACCTTTAAGGATTTTACCTGAAGCGTCTTTAACCCGAGGTATGACTGTATCAGTTAATCAAATATCCAATTGTATAATTTTGGTGGCTCCCCATGTGCTAGAATTACAGGTTTAATATGTTTTTTTTAAAATTCTGCTTCCAAAATCTTACTTAATCTAGTTGTATTCCAATCATAATAATAGCCCCATATTCAACAAATGCAATATTTATGAGTTCTATTCGTATTAACGCATCCAACAATTTATTAGTCCACAAATGAAGATCTACAGTCATACCTCATGTTACGTTTGCTTCATGTTACATTCTTTCAGGTTATGTCCCGCGGCGAACCGGAAGTACCGGAAAGGGTTACTTCTGGGTTTTGCTGCTCGCGCATGCGCAGAAGCGCAAAATGATGACATGCGCAGAAGTGACGAATCGCAACCCACTTGTGCGCAGATGCGCCGCTGCGGGTTGCGCTCTTTTCATGTTGCGAACGGGCCTCCGGAACGGATCCCGTTCACAACCAGAGGTACCACTGTATATCCTTACTGCTACGTGTAATAATTATTTGTCCGTATTTTCTTCTTCTTTCTTTACCAAATATTAATCAATTATTCCAAAAAGTCCCATATCGCTCCAGCCATTCTCTCTCCTCTCAGCTGTAGTTGCAATATAAATACATCAGGCTAGGGAAAGAGTTAACTGGCAGGTGGTGCTCTAATTCCCGCTTGGACGGCTGGGGCGGGAGGAGAGTCTGGCGGCTGGGTCCAGTCTGGCCTGTCTAGTCCAGGATCCTGTTCTCACAGCGGCCGACCAGAAGATGCAAGCATGGCCTGAGCACAAGAGCCAGTCTCTGCTGCGGTTTCTGGCAACCAGCATTCAGAAGCATTTGCTGCCTCCGACAGTGGAGGTGGAACTTAGCCAACAGAGGGTGATGGCAGCCATTGACCGGAAAGCAGAGAGTGCTGTTCGGAGGGCAGACTGGTTGAATGCAGAGGAATAGCAGCAGGAACCAGCTGGGGAACCCCCAAGAAAAGAAGGGTCCTAGCCTGGGGAGCGGTGGTGGGACGACGTCAAGGGGTCACAAGGGAGAAGGCTGGGAGGAGAAAGTGTTGGCAGCTAGAGGGTTAACAGAAGCTGAAGCAGGAGGCCAAGAGGCAGAGAGGAGTCAGAATGGCGAAGGAGCCAGGGGGTCTTTCCCCCTCCTGCTGTTGAAGGAATGGGTTTCCCAAACCCAAAACTGACTGTGCAGGCAGTTTGAAACGGGCACCAAAATCCCTATTTTTCCTTAGCTAAAATCCATTAACCTGAGCTCTGAGTCAATGTATAAACAAAAACCCGGCTGTATAAACAAGTGCCCAGAGCCCTCTCCTTTATCAGTTTGTGATGGCAAGGATGACCTTGGCTGTTTCAGTGGAGTAGGGATGACATGTCTAGATCTTATCTTACGTCCTGACGCACAGACCTAGTCCTGGAACAGCACCAGAGTGTGTTCTTGGAGTTGGTGACCTCCTGATCCAAGATAAGAGTAGGAACACAAATACCCTTTTATGGTCAGAAGTACAGGAAGGAATACCCATTTATGGTTAAGAATACTGGAACAGGAACATATGTGATGTCAACCTGCGTGTATAGGCTGATGTGGTTGGATTCCTGGGGAAGGAGGGAGAGGGTGCCTGGAGGATATATATACTGCATGAAATTTCTCATTTCTTTGGACTTGCTGTGGACACACCACGCAGGTGCCTTCTGCTATCCGGAGAGCAGAAATAAAGAACTCTTTCTCTGAACCAACCCTCGGTGTCATTTGACTTCCTCCTGTCCGGGAGCAACGCAGACCCAATCGGTGAACTCCAATAAGGCTACACTGTGACAAACTCTCCTCCCCCACCCTTGTCTCTCAGGACCAGGAGAGGCATGAAGAGAGCGGAGGAGAAGTTAGCTTCACGCAGGTGTAGTCTCAGATCGGTTGCGAAGGCTCTGGAGAGGAGGGGACTTGGGCAGCTGTGGGGAGGCAGGGACCTTCAGCCTCAGCACCTGCTTCGTGGGGGCAAGAACTGCCAGAGATGTAGGCCTGACCCTCCTGGGCAGGTCAGTTCTGTGTCCAGGGCAGCTGTTTACCAGCTCCATCTGGTTTGCAGGCTGAGACCCTACCTGCCCGCAGACTGTCTCACCAGAGTGGTGCATGCTCTGGTTATCTCTCGCTTGGACTACTGCAATGCGCTCTACCTTTGAAGGTGACCCAGAAACTACAACTAATCCAGAATGCGGCAGCTAGACTGGTGACAGGGAGCGGCCGCCGAGACCACATAACACTGGTCTTGAAAGATCTACATTGGCTCCCAGTACGTTTCCGAGCACAATTCAAAGTGTTGGTGCTGACCTTGAAAGCCCTAAACAGCCGTGGCCCAGTATACCTGAAGGAGCATCTCCACCCCCATCGTTCTACCCGGACACTGAGGTCCAGCGCCAAGGGCCTTCTGGTGGTTCCCTCACTGTGAGAAGCCAAGTTACAGGGAACCAGGCAAAGGGTCTTCTCAGTAGTGGCACCCACCTTGTGGAGCACCCTCCCACCAGATGTCAAAGAGAAAAATAACTACCAAACTTTTAGAAGACATCTGAAGGCAGCCCTGTTTAGGGAAGCTTTTAATGTTTTATAGGTTATTGTATTTTAGTGTTTTGTTGGAAGCCGCCCAGAGTGGCTGGGGAAACCCAGCCAGATGGGCGGGGTATAAATAATGAATTATTATTATTATTATTATTATTATTATTATTATTATCCTGTTCGTGCTGATTAAAAAGTTAACTCCAGCTTGTGGTTTTCTGCTGGCTCGCTTCTGTCAGGCAGAGAGAGGTTGGGAGCTCTTCTTTAACAAAGGCTGCCTTCCTCGGAGAGGGACCCTGGAAGCCGCCTTAGGTCGGTGGGACGCTTAGCCAGCTGCTGGCCTTAACTTGAGAGCCTTTAAATCAAGGATAGATAACCCTTTTCAGCCATGTTCCTTTCTGGGCAACCTTTCAGGGACCACATGCCCTAACCTTAACCATACTTGTAAGCTTGGCAGTGTCCCAAATTTTGATCCACCGTTCCTCTGCTTTGGGTCTTCCTGTCGTGCCTTTTGTCGGCCTGTTAGCCCCCATAATGTGCAAAAACCTCCCTTGATGGCGCTCCCCGCCTTTTCTGGGGGACCGGGGGGGGGATTCTGAAAACCCTGAGAAAATGCTGCCCTAACCCTCTTCTATCACCCCACCTTCTCTTTCCCAGTGACCAGATGGGCAATAAGGGTTCCTACATCCACTTGCAAGGCTCAGACTTGCGGCCGGAATTCCACCAGTTCACAGCAGTGGTGAGTCACAGCACTGGAACGATGCGCTTAGTGGTCGCACGCAGCTCTCAAGTGCGCCTGCACCGATGCCCCAACTCCCACTCGGCCCCCTTCCTGGGATCTTGCCACGCAAACAGGCCTTTAATCTCAGGGCTGTGGGTTCAAGTCCCACATGGGGCAAAAGATTTCTGCACTGCAGAAAGTTTGACTGGATGACCCTGGATGTTGCATTTGGCCAAGTCTGTTTGTATTCACAATCCTGAGTTGGCAGAAGTCACAAGGTAGCCGTATTGGCAAGAGCTGTTGATTTTTCTATGAATTACTGTATTTTTTGCTCCATAAGGGGCACCGGACCATAAAGTGCACCTAGTTTTTAGAGGGGGAAATCAAGAAAAAATATATTATTCCCCCCCCCCAGCCCCAAAGAGAGCTTCTTGGGGCTGCCAGGGGAAGCCCGGGTTCCCCTCCCCCCCAGCCCCAAAGAGCAAAGAAGCCAAAACAGCAAGCGGGATCCATCCCGCTTGCTGTCTTGGCTTCTTTAGCCTTGCGCAGCCTCTCCGGCAATTCCCCCACCTCCTGCAAAAGCCCACAGGAGCCACACACCCTTTAAGGAGTGTGCGGCTCCTGCGGGCTTTTCTACGAGGAGGGAGAAGGAACTGACTGGCTGCATCAGTCCCTTCTCCCTCCTGGGGAAAAGCCCGCAAGAGCCGCGCAGAGCTTGTGTGCGGCTCTTGGGGGCTTTTCCTGCCTGCCTCCCCCCTGCATTCGCTCCATAAGATGCACACACATTTCCCCTTACTTTTTAGGAGGGAAAAAGTGCGTCTTACGGAGCGAAAAATATGGTACTTACTGAACACCTGTGGTAGGTGAAGACGTGTGCATGTTCAGGAAGCCGTCATGTAAAAACATTTTATGCTATCAATTTCCTTCTCCCTTCTTTTTGTAAGAAGGTGTAAAAATACTTTTCACGCAGGTGTCACTGGATCAAGTGCGTCGGTTTTGCTGAATCAGTTAAACTAAAAAGCTTTAATTGGAACAATTTGCTACAATTCTTAGTGGTGCTTTTGATGGGACGGGGGTACCGGGGAGTTTATGGAACCAAGGGGACGGGGACCTGATTTGAGGACCCCTGCTCTAGAAGGGGGTGCACCTTTGCTAACCAAACCTCTCTTCCTCCTTCCCCAGCCTCATCCGAACGTCAAGCCAATGATGTATGCCAATTCGCTGCTGCAAATGGGGATGATGTAAGCTGCCCTCCAGCTCTGCCAGCTCGCACCCCCCACACCTTCTTGCCAGGAGACCCCTGCGCTAGGCAAACAACAAATCCCCCTTCCTTCCTTCCTTCCTTCCTTCCTTCCTTCCTTTTTTTTTGGTTACATTTCCTTCCGACATCAGCCTTCACTACAAAGCAAGGGATATTTTGGCAGGTGAGGTGGTGGTTAAGCCTTAGCATCTCCTGCAGGGTGTGTGTGTGCTGAGGACTGCGTCTGTAATACCCCCCACCCACCCCCAGAAGGCAGATACTGTTCCAGGGCGACCCTCTCCTTTGCTAGCGTTGTATAATGCGCACAGGCAACACGAGAAAACGGCAGCCAGAACGTTAGAGAACTTTTTTTTTTTTTAATATATTGGAAGACTGTATTTATTCCTTACCTAGTCTGATTTTTTCCCCCAGCCCGCCCCCTAGGCTCTCCTTCATCTTTTCCCAGCTTGAAAGCACTCACGATTCTGCAACCCACCAGCCTAGAGGAGTGGGGCGGAGGTTGAGGGCTGCCTTTGCCAGCCTCTCCCCTCTTCGCCTCCTCCAGCTGATGGCCGTTGTCCCGGAAGATCAGAGCTTGATTCCATTAGGCGTGTGCAAGCACACCCAACCCCTTCCACCTTTCCCGTGGGTTCTGCGCCGCCGCAGAGAAACTGTTTGGTTTGCCCAGGCACTCAAAGCTCAAGGGGAAGAGCTGTTCCGTTACCTCTTCCTCTTTCTTGCACCGCCTTGTCATAGCGACAAGGGGTCTTCCATCTCTGGGCGAGGATGGCTTCTCAGCCTAGCTGCCTGCCAGCTCCAAACTCTTCCCGGGTACTTTGTTGGTCCTATCATCACGTTCCCAGCTAGCCTAAGCCGAAAACCCCAGAGGAATGTGTAGCCTGTTTGCATGTTTGTGTGTGTGAATTTTCCCATCCTGATGCCAGCTGTGGATTAGCCTCATCTGGTCTATTACTGGCCACCGTCCCCAGCTCAGTACGGAGCAGGGGAGGGGGGCTTCTGGTAATTATGGGGTGGAGGCAGGAAAGGGAATGGGGAAGGGGATTCGGGAATTGTGTAGGGCTGACCCTTGGCTTTCGGGCCCCCTTCATTCCAGCCTCGCAGGGATTGTTACGCCTTCCGGGGAGGGGAAAATTCATCAGGGCATTTTGACGACTCTCCCATCTTGAGATCTGCAGGCTTCGGGGATCCGTTTGTCCAGGGGGTGGGGAGACCTAACACCGCTTCTGGGGCTTTGATCCTCTCGAGATCTTTCTCAACCTTTTCCCTGTGACTGATTTGGAGGGATCATTCTTTTAGTCCAGGATACGCTGCTGGTGGGATCTCGGGAAGGTCAGGGTCCTCTCTCTCTAGGTGGGACCTTCCAATTCTGATATCTCACAAGCTTGGTTTCTTGAGAGAGAGAGACAAAGACCTCAATCTCATCGGAGATGTGCAGAATCTGCCTTGTGGTTCCTGGTTCCCTCCTGGATGGTTTTATTTCCTTCCCCTAGCTTGAGCGTTTTAAGTTTTCATCGCCAGAGGATAAAACTGCATGGGGGTGGGGGAATCGGGCCTGAGGGGACCAGCTTTGCCAAAGGGCTGAAGAACTGGGAAATGGAAAAATTTGGTGGTTTGTTTGTTTTTTGTTGCTCCTACTCCCCGCCCCCCCAAAAAACACTCACACCTTCTTGGGACCTCCCCTTCTTGCTCCCGCTCTGGCAAGGCATCGTCATTTCGGCTTTTCCAAACTGAAACGAGGCTGCTTTCTTCCCCTATCGTGGCCGAAAAGAGAAACCAGCGAATATTCCAGAAGCACTTTGGATGTTCTTATTTCCATGCTGACCATGGAGGGTTTTTATACATCCAGGATTTCCTCTCCACTCGCCCTCCTACCTATTTGAGCTATTTTACTGTCTGTAATTAAACAAAAGATGTTAAAATAAAGTAACTATTGAAAGACCTGCCAGGTTGGGTACAGCCTCAGTTTTTTCCTTCCCAAACGGTTCATTCTTAAAACCCCAATCAACTCGGACCCCAAATATCTGGAAGATGGCCTCCTTCCCCACAGGTGTGCTCTGGTGTCTTAAGATCAGCAGAGGAGGGTTCCTCCACTCTCTGAAGCTCAGGGGGGCAGGTTGGGAGAGGGCCTTCTCTGCAGCAGCCCCTAAATCAGGGATTCTCAAACTTTGGTCCCCAGCTATTGTTGGACTACAACTCCCATCATCCCTAGCAAGCAGGACCAGTGGTCAGGGGTGATGGGAGTTGTAGTCAAACAAGGACCGAGGACCCATAGTTGTTGTTGTTGTTGCTGTTTAAACATTTATTTACAAACAAACAAACAAAAACACACAAACGCTACATACCAAGAAAAGAACAATAGAGACATTGAACAACCTACTTAAACATACAAAAATTACCTACACCCATGTGACTTCCCTCCACCAGGGCTCGTCTTCCCTTAGGCTGTAATTTTGTTATTCACATTGCAATTTTTATCTCTGATCCTTAAACCTCTTATTTTACTATTGTTTTTTCTAGATCAACTTTACAAACTTAATCTAAACAGATCAACGTGTTGTTTTTGGTGCAGTGTTTGCTCATATAGTGTTCAAACCATTTCCATTGTTGCCTTAAATTCTGGTTTGTTTGATACCTTACTGCTGCGGTTAGTTTTGCCATTTCGACGAATTCTGTTAATTTGTTTAGCCAATCTTCTTTTGTGAGGATGTGATTTCCTTTCCAGTAGGAGCCTTGCTGCGGCAGTAGCGTATAAAAATAGTGTTTTCCTGTCTTGTGGTATATCCTTGCCCAGTATACTCAATAAATAAGCCTCTGGGTTTTTTCCTATAGAGATTTTGAGCATCTTTTTAAATTCCTCGTTAAATTCAACTGCCCAAATTTTTAACTCTTCCACAGCCCCACCATGAGTTCATCACAGTACCCTCCACCTCCTTACATTTCCAACAAAGACTGGATTTTGACTTGCCTATTTTGGCAAGCTTTGTGAAATTTATTTCCTTCACCACACGGTCTGAGGGGAGGTTACAACAATATAAAAATGCAACCTTGAAATAAGTTGGGACAATTGACAATCGCAAGAATAGGGTGGGCCTTAAAATAGGTAGCATGTGGTTCCTCCAGCCTGTCGGGAGAGGGACGTTCACCTGCAAAGAGGGACGCCTGCTATGGAGACCCTCTCTTGAAGGTAGAGGGCCTCTTGCTCTGGCTGCCCTGCTAGCAGTGAGGGCATAAAGGAGCCATGGCCTCGGTCCAGTATATCTGAAGGAGCATCTCCATCCCCATCGTTCTGCCTGGACACTGAGGTCCAGCTCCGAGGGCCTTCTGGCGGTTCCCTCACTGCGAGAGGCCAAGTTACAGGGAACCAGGCAGAGGGCCTTCTCGGTAGTGGCGCCCTCCCTGTGGTACGCCCTCCCACCAGATGTCAAAGAGAACAACTACTACCAAACTTTTAGAAGACATCTGAAGGCAGCCCTGTTCAGGGAAGCTTTGAATGTTTGATGCATTACTTTGAACGTTTGATGCATTACTGATGCATGCAGTGGTACCTCGGATTACACAAGCTTCAGGTTACAGACTCCGCTAACCCAGAAATAGTGCTTCAGGTTAAGAACTTTGCTTCAGGATGAGAACAGAAATCGTGCTCTGGTGGCACGGCGGCAGCAGGAGGCCCCATTAGCTAAAGTGGTGCTTCAGGTTAAGAACAGTTTCAGGTTAAGTACGGACCTCCAGAACGAATTAAGTACTTAACCCGAGGTACCACTGTATTTGGTTGGAAGCCGCCCAGAGTGGCTGGGGAAGCCCAGCCAGATGGGCAGGGTATAAAGAATAAATTATTATTATTATTATTATTATTATTATTATTATTATTATTATTCTGGGGGATTGCCAGGGGTGGAAGGCAAAAGGCTTTGGTTCCCCCAGTAGGCACAGAAAGCCTTGGAACTGGGGTGGTTGTTTTGCTTCCCTTTCAAAAGAATGGGACTTCTTGCTGAGATAGCCACCTCCTTACTGTCCTTTCGCATCCAGGGGGGAAAGGATTTAAAAGGGGGTGGAGTGGGGGACTCTGAGCAAATGGACATTTCCGCCAATGAACCAATGAAGGCCGAGGAAGAGAAACCAGTGGAGTGATGCCCCCAAATCTATGAGGGAATGGGTGGAGTTGGAGAAAGCACACAGTGATTCATCATCTCCCATGGACCAGGTGAGTGCAACGGTGGGGAAATGGCCAAAGTTAAGCAGACCACTGGGGAGGTTTACTTTGACCCACAAATTGGAAGATCCCCTTTCGGTTGCCTGGGATTTGCTGCTGTTTGTGCCCCAATGCCTGGGTTCCGGTGTCCCTGGAGACGCCAGAGAATTCAAATGCGATGCCTCAGAAGCAAAGCAGTTATGGCAGTTGAATTCAGTTGAAGCAGCTTCAGCCAAAGTAGCTTCAGAAGCAGCTTCAGGAGAACTAGGATGATGGTAAAGGGACCCCTGACCATTAGGTCCAGTCGTGACCGACTCTGGGGTTGCGGCGCTCATCTCGCTTTATTGGCCGAGGGAGCCGGCGTACAGCTTCCGGGTCATGTGGCCAGAATGACTAAGCCGCTTCTGGCGAACCAGAGCAGCGCACGGAAACGCCGTTTACCTTCCCGCCGGAGCGGTACCTATTTATCTACTTGCACTTTGACGTGCTTTCGAACTGCTAGGTTGGCAGGAGCAGGGACCGAGCAACGGGAGCTCACCCCGTCGCAGGGATTCGAACCGCCGACCTTCTGATCGGCAAGTCCTAGGCTCTGTGGTTTAACCCACAGCGCCACCCGCGTCCCTAGGATGATGGTATGCCTCACAAATACATCACCCCAGAATTAGCATTTGAGGAAGGGATAGCCCATCTCTTCCTGCCTTTATCTGTTTATCTCCTGATCCTTCTCCTCAGGTCCCTTCTGAGCCTTCATCTCCACGAGCTCACAAACCTGGTAGCACATAGCATCCTTAGGCAGCTACTCGGGTCCCCACTTGCAACGAGTCCCCACTGCTGTGCCATTATCTTGCCCCTCAGTCCTGGAGTGTTGGGGAGTTTGGAGCCATCGTTTTAACTTTCCACACTGTGCTGAGAAATTGGTTACGCCAGCAGGGCTAGGAAGCCCATAGTCCTTTTTGTCAGCGACATCCCAGCGGGTATATCATCTAGGGTCGCCATACTTCAATAAGTAAAAATCAGGACACAAAAGTTGTTGCGCTTTTCTGGGGAAAGTTTCAAAGAAAACCCCAGACATTTTACTGCTTTCTCAAAATTCCCCATGGACGCTAATTCTGTCACTGGGATCCTGGACGTGTCTGGGAAAATCCGGATCGTATCAATCAATGTATGGCATATGGCAACCCCATTATATCTCACAAGCTGCCTTGTGCTCCCCTGTTAATCATCTTCTTGGAACTACTGGTTTATGGAGCGCTGGCTATAGCCAAGGGAGTTTAGCAGAATATGGGATGGGCAGAGAGAGGCAGGTCCCTGCCCCACAGAGCATACAGTATTAATAATAAATTATTTTTAGAGAAAAATAACTACCAAACTTTTAGAAGACATCTGAAGGCAGCCCTGTTTAGGGAAGCTTTTATTGTTTAATAGGTTATTGTATTTTAGTGTTCTGTTGGAAGCCGCCCAGAGTGGCTGGGGAACCCAGCCAGATGGGCGGGGTATAAAAAATAAATTATTATTATCCCCCCCCAATGCTAAGGAAGGACTTAGTTCTTTTCTAGCATCCTCTGGCTCTAGATCCTGCCTTCCATGGCAAGTTTATCACTTTTTCTCCTGCTACCTACACCTTCCCTCTTTGCAGGCGATAGTGTTTGGCCAGCGGGCACCGAAGACAACACCGCCCCCCCTGGCTCCTCTGGTGAGAAAATAGCCTCATTGCACTTTAATTATTAGCTGCTATTTATTTATTAAAAATGGTTTTAGACTCTTCTCTCATACAAAAAAATCAAGGTGCTGTACAACAAAATATACAGTAAATCATAAGGACATCCCTGATTTAGAGAAGCCGTCCCAGTTTCTTATTTGATCTCTGAATGTCCCATTTCCCCCTAGGATGTCCCTATTTGTCAGGACACTGACAAACTGGAACGTGTCCAGAGGAGGGCAACCAAAATGGTCAAAGGCCTGGAAACGATGCCTTAGGAGGAACGGCTAAGGGAGCTGGGCATGTTTAGCCTGGAGAAGAGGAGGTTAAGGGGTGATATGATAGCCATGTTCAAATATATAAAAGGATGTCACATAGAGGAGGGAGAAAGGTTGTTTTCTGCTGCTCCAGAGAAGCGGACACGGAGCAATGGATCCAAACTACAAGAAAGAAGATTCCACCTAAAGATTAGGAAGAACTTCCTGACAGTAAGAGCTGTTCGACAGTGGAATTTGCTGCCAAGGAGTGTGGTGGAGTCTCCTTCTTTGGAGGTCTTTAAGCAGAGGCTTGACAACCATATGTCAGGAGTGCTCTGATGGTGTTTCCTGCTTGGCAGGGGGTTGGACTCGATGGCCCTTGTGGTCTCTTCTAACTCTATGATTCTATGATTCTATTTGTACTGGAGAAATGTTGGAGGGTATGGTAGGATGTCCCTATTTTCATTGGAGATTTAAAAAATAATAATAATGTTTTTTATTACCGTTAGTTTTCATTTGCAGATCAATAACAGTCTCATGATGACAATACCAATATATAATACAATTATTAATACCAATCATTCAAATATCCAATTATATAATTTAGATAAAGTGGGGCCCTGTGTGCTAGATTTGATATTTTGATGGTTTTCTTTATTTCCGCACTCCAAAATCTTATTCGTTTCAATTACATTCCGGTCATAATAATAACCCCTTATACAACAACTGCAATATTGATAAGGTCTATTTGTGTGTTGACACATTAAATGATTTATAACACTGCAAGTGAGGAACTCAAACTATATCCTTGTTCTTCCTGGGTGTAGACACACCTGCAGGCCACAGAGAGGGATGTCTGAAGAAGTGGGGATCCTCTCTTGACAGGAGCTTCTGCTGCTCTTGCTGCCCCACCAGCAGCCAAGGCAGAAAGGAGGCTGGGGAAACCCAGCCAGATGGGCAGGGTACAGATAACAACAATAAAATGCCAGGAGATTGTCAGGGGTGAATTTGGGAAGCAGGAAGCAGACACAGGCAAAGTTAGGATCCAGGCATGCTTCTAGCTCCACAGATTTTAGCCACAGAAATACTCAGAAGGTGTGTGTTTTTTTCTTTGTTCCTTCTGCTCTACACAGGAAATTGCACCAAGGAGCGAAGTGTATGGCTGGGACTGAAGGGAAGTTCTGCTTCTGCACATAACTGTGGCATTATGGGAAGTCCTGCTTCTTTTCTCTGGCATCATGGGAAGTCTCGCTTCTAAGCTTTTCTCTGCTTCTGTACATACTGTACAACCCGTTCTAAATACCTAGACATTCCCTCATTTCCCTAGGATGCTCAGTTCATCTTAAGTTCATGAAAACATTACACTCTGACCTGTTCTTAATGCATAGCTGACCACATCTATGGAACTCGATTATTATATTCTTTCATGTTATGGTCAATCATTAGTAATTGTTTTAGTCATGCTATATCAATCATTAGTTATAATTTAATTAGGAGGTTTCATGCCTGTCTAGTTCTGTGCTCCCTTTCCCAGCCTTTAATCTATTGGTGATTAATGCCTATACGTAACCCTTGCTTTGTACTTGTGTTAACCAATCAGCAACAAGTTGCTTTGTGTTTGTATCAACCAATCAGCAACGAGCGCACCTGTGGCAATGTTGTAATATTCAATAAAAGAGTCTTCTCGGGGCTTGCTCCAGAGATGCCTCTCACATGACACCTGCTACTCGTCTGTCGTTACTGCGATCCAACACGGGACCTGTCAGCACCCTCTTTCTCCAGGCTCCGCTTATCCCTGTCCCCCAAACCCAAAACATCCCTCCATGATCCCCCAAACCACCTGCCCGCCCCATCTCTCGGGTTCCTGTCCCCCACATCCCAAAAATATTCCTTCCCACCCGGCAAAAACCTATAATTCATACCCCACAAGTTTCCACCCTCCGCACTTCTCAAGAACCCCCCTGCTCCACCCCTGACGACCGCCCCTTATAATTAAGCCCTCTCTCCCACTTAAACCCACCATTACCCTTCTGATCCCACCCTAAAACCTGATTTCTTCCTCCTTGTCCCCCTCTCCCTCGATCCACACTGTATCCGCCTCCCTTCTGCTCTCCCCCAAAAATATCCCCCTCCCCCACGAGTCCCCCTCAGAAATTGTTCCATTCTTATGCTCCCTCTCCCTTCAGCCCACTCTGGAATATGCCCCTGTTATGTTAAGGAAAAATCTAGGTGTGAGGCTGCTCAGTCACCCAGCTCTTCGGGCAGAGCCCGTGGGTCCCTGCAGAATAAAGGAAGGAGTCCAGCTAACCAGAGCAAATAGCTGATGGGAAGTTATGTTATGTTCTTTTAAGTTTTGCAATATCAATCACTAGTAATAGTTTAATAAGGAGGTTTTCATACCTGTCCAACCATGTGTTCCCTTTCCCAACCTTTAATCTATTGATGATTAATGCCTATATGCAACCCTTGCATTGTATTTGTGTTAACCAATCAGCAACAAGCACATATGTGGCAATGCTGTAATATTCAATAAAAGGGACTCCCCGACACATGCTCGGGAGATGCCTCCCATATGACACTTGTCATTCGTCTGTCGTTTATTTCAACCCAACAAATAGCTGTAGACCAAAGTTTATTGCGCAATAGGTTCAAAGAGCAAATTTGAACCCTGAGGATGGGGTGACAAAGACTTTTAAAACTTTCCCACCACATCCCAGAATACAGTTCGAAGGGGAGGGGTTAACCTTGGCAAACATGTCCAGACAAGTCCTTGGTACAAGATTAGCATAAGCCGACATGGCAGGGCAAGACTCGGGTATAAGATGAGCATAGGCAAACATGTCTCAAGTACCCACCACCCAAAAGTACAATAGAAGTTCCTTTGCATGTCTGGAGCCTGAGGGAGTCAGGTGATGAGATTTGGCTTCCTTTGGCTAACAATGAGCCCAGCAATTGTCACCTCTGGGAACTTCCTGGAGTCCTTTTGCAAGGGGAAAATAGCTTTGGAATGGGGGGAACTGGGAAAGGAGATGATTTTAATATTATTTTTAAAGCTAGGTGACTTCCCTGAGCTGTCAAGTTGGGATGATATATTCAGGCATAATATTTGTAATATTTAACTTTAAAGATGTGCCCCCCCTGTAATTTCCGTAACAGTTATGTACTGAGTAGTATATTTCAGCCCCCCTGCCCCCGAAACGCTCCCTAAATATGCACTTCCCCCCCTGAAACTTTCCCAAAATATGCCCCCTTGCCCCTGATACCCTCCCAGAATATGTCCCCTCCACCCCTGAAACTCTCCCTAAATATAGCCCCCTTAATCCCTCCCTGAATATGCCCCCTCCCTCCCTGAAAGGTTCCCATCATATGCCCCCTTGGCCCTTGAGCCCTCCCTGTAAGAGACCCTTTTTTGCCCCCATCCCAGCTCTGCCCTTGCCCTCTTTAACCTATACCCCGGAATACTGGGCTGAATATGATGATTAAAAACCCTTCTCCCCCCCCCCCCCCGAATATGCCCCCTTCCATTCTTTGCGCCCCCCCCCCCGTCATAAGAGAGCCAGGGTCAGAGGGGGTGGGGGAAGGAAAATGACCCTACCAATAAAATATCAAGTTATAGTATTCTGCCTTAGAACCCCACAAGAATGTAAATTGTGCCTTGGAGAATGCATCCTTTGAGAATGTATTGTTTCGCAGTATCTAATGTGTCGTTTTGCTGTGCCTTTCTCAGTGACTTTAAAATTGTATTTCTGAATGTATCCTCACTGAAATGTATCTTTCCATAAATGTATTTTTCCTCAAAATGCTGTACTATGCTGTATGTTTCTGAATGGATCCAATTGTAGCTGCCAAAACACTCTCCACACTGCCATCTACTGGGCTGGGGACCCATAGTTGAGACACACTGTCCAAATGTTGGAACCCACAGAGGTGAGTCTGGCATCTTCGTAATACAGCTTTCGACAAATGCTGAAGGCGCACTCCTCTAACCTGGCCTTTGACACTTGGGTTGTACATTGTTAACGGAGAAATCTGAGGGCTCCCTTGGACAAAAAACAAGGACCAGCCAGGAATACCAGAGCAAAACAGCAGCCAGTAGGCTTGGTCTTTATGGAAGACTGTCGCGACAGGACTCCCACCTGCCACCAGGTGGAACAAGATGGAAGCCCCAAACAAAAGAGCCCCCAAACTTTTATTAGCTGCTCATCCCCATGTTACCCCCCCCCAACTACATCACTCATACATCACGGTTACATCATGAAAGGGGAGGTCTGGGGGCAGTAATCTGAGCATCCTGGACCCTGCCCCATAGTTCCCCTTGCCCTCCACCAAACACCCATCAAGTGTAACAAAAGAGATGTTTACATTTCCCTGTTTCCCAGCCAAGTTAATCCCACCCTTTTGTTTGGGTATGTTATTTCTGGACTGGCTACCTGTCTGGCCCTCAGGTATCAGGATGCTCAGGTATCAGGATGCAGGTAACCCTCTCAGCCCGCCTGGCTGAGGATATGCAGGCAGTTGAGGCCCAGTGAGAGGGGACTGCAAAGCGCAAACTTACACAGCATGCCCTTCCACTGACCTCGTCCGGGGAGTTTGACCTACATGCCGCCGCTCTAGGGCCAGGGACTCCCGGTTTGCCCTTTAATGGGCCCTGCACGTGGCGCCGCATGGGGAGGGAGCATGAATGCACCCCCCCAACTTGATGTTAGACTAAAGGCTACCTTGCCAAGGCCTAAAACCGCCAAAGTTGTGACGAAATTGCTACGGGGAAGGCGAAACCTGCCAATGCAGGGAAAATTCCTTCCTGGTTCTGAATACAGCAACCATCTTACGACCGCAGCAGCGCCCGCTGACTTGGAACACAAAATATTAGCCTGTAAAGAAGAAATCGTTAAATTGAAGAACGCCAACCTAAGCTGAAATTAAAAGGCAAGAAATATTAATTGAGGGAGGGTGGGTGGGTGATCCCAGAAGGAAGAACAGCAAAAGAGGCTTGAGCTCAGGGGTCAGCCTCTTTTCTTTTGGCCTTAGGCCCACCCCCGGCCGGCCGTCCATTGTCCTCCCTGGCCGAGGGCGGGTCAAAGGCCAGCTCAAGCAGGTGGGTGGCACCCGCCCAGGTGAGCCTCGGTTGGTGACGCAAACCCCGCCCACCTGTGGGGAAGGGAGGGCGGATATTATCACTCAGGCAGAGGGGCTGCTGAGTAGCTGAGCTCACATGTCTATATGAATTTATGAAGTTTTCCCAGTGAGCCAGTTGTTGTTGTTGTTTAGTCGTTTAGTCATGTCCAACTCTTCTTGACCCCATGGACCAGAGAACGCCAGGCACCTCTGTCCTCCACTGCCTCCCGCAGTTTGGTCAAACTCATGCTGGTAACCTCGAAAACACTATCCAACCATCTCGTCCACTGTCGCCCCCTTCTCCTTGTGCCCTCCATCTTTCCCAACATCAGGGTCTTTTCCAGGGAGTCTTCTCTTCTCATGAGGTGGCCAAAGTACTGGAGCCTCAGCTTCACGATCTGTCCTTCCAGTGAGCACTCAGGGCTGATTTCCTTCAGAATGGAGAGGTTTGATCTTCTTGCAGTCCATGGGACTCTCAAGAGTCTCCTCCAGCACCATAATTCAAAAGCATCAATTCTTCGGCGATCAGCCTTCTTTATGGTCCAGCTCTCACTTCCATACATCACTACATAGATGCATTTATCAGTGAATTCTTACATTTGGTATCGTGCAGCAAAGGCCCTTGGAATAGATAGGAAGAAACTGCGATGAAGTGTTTTGTGGGGACAAATCACAAAAGTCACAAAAGCGATTGTGCTGGTTTTGGTAGTGGGCTGCATGTGCATGATATCTGCTGGAGGGGCAACCCCCCCCCAACCTATACATAAATTCCTGCAACAACATTTTTAGCACCTACCTCCATCTGGTTGTTGTTTCAGACTGCTTTTAACACTGTGCTTTAACTGTGTGGCCTTAGGGTGAAGGGATTATTATTAATTGTTGAGTCACTTTGAGTGAACGTCACCCTTGTTTCCAGTCCGGGCTTCCCCAAACTTGGGCCTTCCACTGTTTTTGGACTACAACTCCCATCATCCCTAGCTAGCAGGACCAGTGGTCAGGGATGATGGGAACTGTTGTTCAAAAAACAGCTGGGGACCTAAGTTTGAGAAACGCTGCTTTAGTCAGAGCCTTTTGGGACTGTTGCACCCAGGTCAGAGTAGTTTTGCTTGAGACATTCACTGATGGTTTACTGGTAATTGCTTTTCTACATAAAAGGTAAAGGTAAAGGGACCCCTGACTATTAGGTCCAGTCATGGCCGACTCTGGGGTTGCGGCGCTCATCTCGCTTTATTGGCCGAGGGAGACGGCGTACAACTTCCAGATCATGTGGCCAGCATCACTAAGCCGCTTCTGGCGAACCAGACTTGTTCATGGAAACACCGTTTATCTTCCCGCCAGAATGGTACCTATTTATCTACTTGCACTTTGACGTGCTTTCGAACTGCTAGGTTGGCAGGAACAGGGACTGAGCAACAGGAGCTCACCCTGTCGCAGGGATTCGAACCGCCGACCTTCTGATCGGCACGTCCTAGGCTCTGTGGTTTAACCCACAGCACATAAAAAGGCAACCATAATTTTAAGTGACAGACATTAGGCTAGATTGAAACAAACTTCATCTCTATTAAGAGTGCATGCAGAGAATATAGCTCACATTTGTACCAATCAGGCTGCTTGGAATTATCAAAGGTTTTTGTTTCTGGCAATGATCTATTTGGCTAAGAAAAATACTTTTAACCAGTGCTTTTCTTCTAGGAAACAAAAAGGTGCCAGTACTGAGTACCCCCAGAAAAAAACACTGGCTGGAGCTGCCCCTTTATAGTTTTGCTCTGTAAAATGTGTGTAAAATTGAATAGAAATAATTATAAATGATTGCCAGGTACTTGCAGTTATCCATTCATGTTTAGCATTGACATTTTCAGATTCTTTGGGTTTCCGAAAGCAGTTTATGCACTTCTTCATCAAATGTAGACTTACCAAGCTAAATGTTGTCAAATCACAAAAAATGAGCAGTTTTGAATTCCTCGCACCCAATATCTTCAAGACCCCCTCGCTGAAGAAACTTGCAAAATTAAGTTTTGCCCCCTTAAATGACACACCCTAATTGTTGTTGTTGTTTAGTCGTTTAGTTGTGTCCGACTCTTCGTGACCCCATGGACCAGAGCATGCCAGGCACTTCTGTCTTCCACTGCCTCCCGCAGTTTGGTCAAACTCATGCTGGTAGCTTTGAGAACACTCTCCAACCATCTGGTCCTCTGTCATCCCCTTCTCCTTGTGCCCTCCATCTTTCCCAACATCAGGGTCTTTTCCAGGGAGTTTTCTCTTCTCATGAGGTGGCCAAAGTATTGGAGCCTCAGCTTCAGGATCTGTCCTTCCAGGGAGCACTCAGGGCTGATTTCCTTCAGAATGGAGAGGTTTGATCTTCTTAAAGTTCATGGGACTCTCAAGAGTCTCCTCCAGCACCGTAATTCCAAAGCATCCATTCTTCGGCGATCAGCCTTCTTTATGGTCCAGCTCTCACTTCCATACATCACTACTGGGAAAACCATGGCTTTAACTATATGGACCTTTGTTGGCAAGGTCTAATAGATTATGCCTTTAAAACCATGATGAAGTGTTTAAATGCTTTGAGAAAACCACCGGCCTTGGAACCAAAGTGGGATGCAAGGGATTCTGGGTAAAGTGGGTACCTAAGATTACACTGGTCAACAACAAATTTGTTGTCTGCATTTTTTCAGCTGATTTAGGACGAATCTGATGTGCTGAATCCAAAAA